ATTGGTAGAGGAAGAGAGACAGTAAGGATGTTATTGGGGAAAGTGCTGTGAAGTGACATCTGTAGTACTGCAGATGGAAACTAACTAGTGTCAGGGGAGGTCTGTCTGTGGTAGTGACAGTTAGGCAGACATGTGTAGAATGGGAGGCAGCTGTTTGAGAGCCATGGGGCAAGCACAGAGGCAGAAGCAACTACATTACCTAAAGGCTACAGGCCCAGAAGGTGCTTATAGTGTTCTGGAAGTTGAAAAGAAACTGCTAGCATCAGAGCCTCCTGTATTAGAAGTTATTTGAAGTGACAGTAGAAAAGCAACCTGGTGCTAAGATGGGGAGAGAGGAATCCCTGGATCGTGGGAGAGATTCATATATTCTGAGTGCAGCAAGAGCCACTGAGGGCTTGAAACACATGGTTGTTGGGGAAGGTTATTGGAAGAAGAGAAAACAGATAGGGGGCTCCAAGTGAGGCAGCAGCTGGGGCCAGGGCTATGCCAGGGCAGAGGGAGACTGCGGACTGATCTGAGGTAGACTTTGGATCTAGGCATGTGGATGGACTGGGTGGTGGAGGTAATAAAGAGAAAGAAGAATCAGAGATCAGTCCTGGATCTCTTGCAAAGCAGCTGGGTGGGCGTGCTGGACTCACCTAGGATGAAGAGAACAGAGGAAAGACAGAGAAGAATTCTCTTTTAACCTGTGACCTTTGACATGACTCCAGGACATAGCTTGCAAGGCTCCGGGCTGTCAGATGTGAGCCTGGAGCTGAAAAGACAGTTCTGAGATGAGGCTGAGATCTAGATGTAGAATCTAAACCTTTGAGATTTGGCATTATTGCTGTGTCTGTTTCCTAGAGTGGCAAATAAGGACCACAAAATGCACGGCTTGACACAGCAGCTACTCTGCTGCTGTTCAGGAGCCCAGACAACCAAAGTTGTCATGTTAGCTGGGCCTCAAAGATGGAGGAGAGGATCTTCCCTATCTTCTCTAGCTTTTTGTGGTTGTAGGTGCTTCTTGGCTTGCAGCACATAAATGCAGTCTCCACCTCTGGCATCGTGTGGCTATCTTGTCAGTGTCTGTGCCCAAATCTTCCTGTCCTAATAAGGACATCTGTCATATTGTATTAGGACCCACCCTCTATGATACAGCTTCATCTTAGCTGATCAAGCCTAAAACAACCCCATTTCTAAATAACTAAGACTTCCACATACCTGTTTTGTAATGCTAGAGATTGAGCTTAGGACCTGTGCATGGTAGGTAAGTACCCTACCTCTGAGCTATATCCCCAATCCAGCATATTATTCAGGGCAAACAAAAACCATGATGATCACTTAGGGAAAGAATTGAAAGGAAAGGTCAGAGGCATGGAGCAGTTGGATGAAGAAGAAGGATGCTCTAGCAAAGGGTATGGACAGGCAAGCAATCTGGATATGGGAAAGTAGCACCTAGAAAGCCAAAAATAGCTATTGCAAAGCAGGAGCAATAGGCAGTTACATTAAAAAAAAAAAGGCAGCTCTCAAGACATAGAGCTGAGATGCTGCCCAATGGATATGACAATACAAGGCCATGCTGATCTTGCTAGTATGGCACATGAATGTAGGGGCCTCTGAAACCCACTAGAGAAAGTGAAGAAGCTGTATGCAGTGAAGAGGCAGGAACTTTAGGAGGCCATTGCTATGAGAAATGGGGTGGGGAGGAAGCAGATACTCTTGGAAACACTGAGGAAGGATTAAGAAAAGGTGTGTGTTTGAGGTTTGCTTACATTTGTTAGCTTTATCCTTGCATTCTGTTTGGTTTTCCAAAGTGGGAGCTGCTGAGGTATGGTGCTAGATGCTTTTTCACATCTGAGTTTATGTCATGCATGTTTAGTGCTCTTTTGTCCCTTGATTTAGTGTTGCCTTCCTACTTTGTAAGGACCTTCTACTTCTTTTTCTATTTCTTTTGTCCTCCATCCATCTAGCCCAGTGCTTAAGTGTATAATCTTTTTGCTCAAAGCAAGAAAAATATTTTGCTGTATGTACATACCATAATACTATGTAAGGCTGCAGTTTCTTTTTCCTGGTAGACTGAGAAAGAGCAACATTCACAGACCTTCTTCATATAGGCAGATGTAGAAATCTATGTCCAGTATTTCTTTCCAAAGAACATCACCAAAGTATCTGCATGGCATTCTCAGATGTTTATATCATTCACAGCATTAGGGAACAGAGGCCTGACTGAGAAGTATCCAGAGGTTGGAGCTGCCTGCGTGACGGCCACAAGAGCCAGTTGAGTATCTTGACAGGAACGGCCACAGTCAAATGCAGGGAACTGACAAGCCTGCTCCTAACACAGGGACTGGGATGTGATGCATCCAACATCAGGACCTAGGCTGGCAAGCTGGTGAGGGAAGCCTGGGCAAAGACTCTCAGAAACAGACCTGAGCTCTCATGTGTGCAGAAGTGGGAAACACATCTCACTCCAGAATGGAGAGGCAGGAAGAAAAACAGTTTGTAACACTCATTTTTCTCTAATATTCTTTTCAGGCATTGCCTTTCTAAGGAATGTAGTTTTTGGTTTTGTTTCTTTAAACCTCCATATCCAGAGGTATTGTAGGGGCAGCCTGCCAGCCATCATTAGTTACAGATCATCTGGGAGTCCTGGACTTGGAGCCCCAGGATACAGGTGATCTAGGCAGGTGTTGGGAATGAGGCTCATGAAATAAGAGTGAGGCCAGCATATGTCGTGGAATAGTCACAGGCATCCCCAGTGTACTGGCTGGGTTTGTGTGTCAACTTGACAAGGTAGAGTCATCAGAGAGGAAGGAGCCTCAGTTGAGGAAATGCCCCCATGAGAACCAGCTGTAAGGCATTTGCTCAATTAGTGATCAGTGGGGGAGGCCCCAGCCCACTGTGGCTATGCCATCCCTGGGCTGGTAATCCTGAGTTCTATAAGAAAGCAGGCTGAGCAAGCCAGTAAGCAACACCCCTCCATGGCCTCTGTGTCAGCTCCAGCCTTCAGGTTCTAGCCCTGCTTGAGTTCCTAACCTGACTTCCTCCCATAAAGGACTATGATCTGGAAGTGTAAGCTAAATAATAAACCCTTTCCTACCCAACTTGCAGCAATAGAAACCCTAACTAAGACACCAGCTTATGGATGCTAGTGAGCATGAGCAGCCTCAGCAGCCCCCCACACAGGTAGCAAGTGCACTAAAGGAGACAAAGGCTGCAGGGAGAGGTTATGGTGGGGGGACAGGACTGACAGCTGTTTCTAGCAGTGAAGACCCACAGATAAGGAATGCTCTCTGTACCCTAGCAGCGACATTTCTCTGAACTAGTCAGCTCTTTCTACCCTTATGAAATTCCTGAGACAGTTTACTTAGAAATGGTTTCTTTGGCTCCTGGTTTTGGAGGTCTCCGTATAGGATTGGCCGCAGCAGCGCAGATGCAGGAGTGCATAGCAAAGTAAGCCTGGCATACCACATGGGAAAAGGAGTCAGGGTTAGGTGACCTACAAGGCCACATTCCCCGTGAACTAAGAACTCCCCACTAGTTCCAGCTGCTAAAAGTTCCACCTCCTTCCAGTTGTGCCTCACTGGAGACCAAACCCATGCACAGGCCGCTGGGAGGCATTCAACATCCAAACTATAGCATTGTCCCTTGCTTCCCAGACAAACTGTGGAGACACCAGAGAAGCACACATACATCTGAAAACATTCGGGTTTTGTTTTTCAACACAATGTTGCAGGAGAGCTAGCTCATTGGTAATCTGAGTTTTATCTCCAGGACCCTCATAATCAAAGCCAGGAGTGATGCTTCAAGACAGATCAACTGTAGTCACACCTCAAACACTGAGCCTGACTTATACCAAAACATAGTACTACCTAGTCAAGACAGAGACTTAAAATGGGAGGCATAGTGGCTGGAGAGGTGGCTCATTGCACTTACAGTGGATGTAAGTTTGGTTACCAGAATCTGTAGAGTAGCTCACAACTGCCTCTAACTCCAGCTCCCAGGGACCCAGTGTCTCCTTGCCCCACATTTGTGGCATACCTTGACACAGATACACATGCACCTGAATAAAGCTTAAAAGAAAGTATACTTCCTGATCTGACTTTGGTTACCAAATGCATGTATACTTTTCTCTTTAAAATTCTTTTGAAATTTCTATGTGACATTGTCTGTCACTTGCGGAGACATTAGCTCCTACACCAAGAGTGGACTGCTTATAATGGAATTCTGGTTGACTCTCAAGATGATCTATTCATAAATGGGGGTCTATAGTTGTAACATTAAAGAACTTTTATAGAGATTAACCTTTTAGAAACTGATGGGGAAAGTAATAACAGTGTTTCCTTGAGGAATTGTGATACAAACGCGGAAGACAAAGGTCATTGTGATGAATGAATATTAGACTTAATTGCCTTCCTTATTTTAAGTAAGAGCAGCTATTTTTATGTGTTCCTGAAAGTAGACTGTTTCAGAATTCCTTCTTAAAAATCAGTCTTTCTCGGGGCTGGACAGATGGTGCAGTTGTTAAGAGCACTGTCTGCTTTTGCAAAGGACCCGGGTTCACTTCTCAGCATCCACGTGGCAGCTCACAACTGTTATAACACAAATTCCAAGGGCTCCGACACCTACACACAAATGCACGTAAAATAAAGTTAAATAAAATATAAAAATTAAAAAATCAGGCATTCTTTATAAAGAATTCCAAATTCCTACTGCTTGTGCTGTGGTTGTCAGCTCATAAGCCATGTGGCCAGAGTGTCGTGGCAAGATGTCCACAGACATCCTTCACTATAGGTCTGTGGGCCACCACCTACCCTTACTCTACACTTGCAAACTAACTACATTCTTTGTCATAGATGACAAAGCCAAAGAATGGAGAGGTCACTGCAATGCAGGCATCTCTCAAAGACCACAGACCCCACACAGGCAGTCATGGCACCCCAGGACAGAGCTAGAGTTCATACAGAAGTAGCTGCTGTGTTTCCAGATCCCTGATGGTTCTTCTCATTCTTCCTCTCCAGGGCCCCAGAGATCATCCTTGGTTTGCCATTCTGTGAGGCAATTGACATGTGGTCCCTTGGTTGTGTCATTGCTGAGCTTTTCCTGGGCTGGCCATTATACCCAGGAGCTTCTGAGTATGATCAGGTAGGTCTGGTTGACACAGGTCTGGGTGACACTGTTTGACTTTACTCGCCATCCAGAAAACTCTGTATTACCATTTCACTTAAAACCTGGCCTATCAAGTTCTTGTTTGGTTGGGTTGTTTGTTTGTTTGTTTGTTTGTTTGTTTGTTTTTCGAAACAGGTTTTTCTCTGTGTAGCCTTAGCCGTCCTGAATGCATGTTGTGGACCAGGCTGGGCTCCAGTTCACAGAGATCCCCTGCCTCTGCCTCCCTGAGTGCTGGGATTAGAGGCGTGTGCCTGGCTCTCTATGATGTTCTTATGGGCTAAGTTATTGTCCCCATATCCTGGTTTTCTTACACCCTCCTTCCTTCTCTCCCTCCCTCCCTCCCTCCCTCCCTCTGTGTATGTATGTGTGTGTTTCTTCTTTCTTTTTACTTCTTTTCCCTCTAGAACTAATAATTCCATTTGTCTCAAAGCCACTAGAGCCATCAATATACCATATGTACAGTGACAGGAAAAGCCTGACCTCTTTCTCATCTTTTCTTGCAGATTCGGTATATTTCACAAACACAGGGTTTGCCAGCTGAATATTTATTAAGTGCAGGGACAAAGACAACTAGGTTTTTCAACCGTGACACAGACTCGCCGTATCCGTTGTGGAGGCTAAAGGTAGGAAAAACACCCACACACACACACACAATGATTGGCCCAATAATGAAGGAAGAAGGAAAGTAAAAGATGAGCTTTTGATATTTACAAGTTGGTCACTTTCTTTTGACCAACAAAATCGGTATCTACAGCAATAAATGCAAGGTGTGACTGGATCTGAGTGTTTGAAAACACCTGCTCCCTTGGCCCACTGCTGCCTGAGAGGCTGTATCCCATGGGAAGATGGCTCGATTTCTAGAATTTAATCTTAGGATCCTTGATGACTAACTTGTGCTAGGCACATGAAGCAGCCACACTCTGTCCTCAAGGAGCTCACTGTCCATGGGTGATAGAACCAGTATCCTAAGCTCTAGGCACCCATATCGAGTATTATCCTAGGAGGAAAGAATGTGGGAAACAAGAGGGACCCAAGTGAGCCAAGAAAAAGCCAAGATAGGGGCCAAGGGCAGGGAAGAACATTTGTGCTGGGCCCTATGGAGTACAGAGAGATTTTTCCCAGGCAATAAAAGCAGCCTAAGCAATGCAAATGTCACAAACCCCTGGGAAGAGGGCAGATCTGATTCATCCAGGCTTATGTATACCCTGCTGGATACCATAAACTCTTGGTGATTTCACCTTAATGGAAATATATTTTGCTTTTACTCTGTGTCTCATAATTAAAATTAACATACTTTTCCTGGGAAGGAGAAAGTAATAAAGACCTAAAATATGTACTATGTTTATTTTTTGCAGTAGGTTGGGTTTTAGTGGGTTTGGTTTGGTTTGGTTTGGTTTTGACAGGACCTCAAACAAACCCTAATACAGTTTTAAAGATAATATGTACTTTCAAAACATTGGGATTTAGAAACTAAGACTCTTAGGCTACAAATAGAGCACCTGACATCTAGTAATTATTAAAGTTGTCAAGGTCAGGTACAGTAACAAGTCTTCAGGTAGAAGAGGGAGAGCCCAGGTTGGGGGAGGGGATAGCCACTTCTCTCTTTTACCGGGAACCTCATTCTGCATGTTCAGCTGTTCCTAGGGGTTAAGTTGCTACAAGTGTGCTGGCCTTCATCCAGAATTAATTACCTTAGATCCCTGAATGAGTCCTCAACCCCATAGCCAGTAGAAAAAGTAGTTTCCCAGCTGATAGCACAGTAGATATCTTTGGAAGAGCAGCATAGAACATAGGCTCTGGACACAGCTGTCACTGGTAGCCCAGGAGCTTTGGTAGGTCCTCAGGGCTTTATATTTTTGTGTTTCCATGTAGTAGAAGAGGAGAGCAGTTATCCTAATGACCATGGTTATGAAGAACATTTACCAAGTTAATGTGCCTTGAAACAGCATAGGAGCTGTGGGTATAAGGGATTGCTAAGTAACATAAAAATTTAGAGCATGTCCAAAATGGGCCTCTGGTCTTCCACAGTGGGCTTTTACCTTCAGCTTATGGAAAGCTGCAGAGTGACAAAGGTGTGGGTCTCATATTAGAGTCTTTGGGTAGAGTTTATATCAAAGTGGGCTTGAATGGTGTCAGGGGAGGATGGAAGATGAGCTAGTATGGACAGATAGTGAAAGGAGTCCCTGTGCAGGACAGTTTCAGAAGAACCAAAGTCTCTTCCTCTACAAGGTGAGAAAAGACCCTGGGGAAACAGGAGCTCAGGAGCTCAGTGCCTAAGAGGTGCCATCTGACCAACCAGATTTTGCCTTTTCCGATAGACACCAGATGACCATGAAGCAGAGACGGGGATTAAGTCAAAAGAAGCAAGAAAGTACATTTTCAACTGTTTGGATGACATGGCCCAGGTAAGCTCTGTGGATGAGTATTTGTGGCGCAGGCCCTTTAAAAACAAAAAACAAAACACCTGCAGGGCAGGGCTTGGTGGTGTATACCTTTCATCCCACCACTCTAGGAGGTAGGGCAGGTGAATCCCTGTGAGTTTGAGGCTGGTCTAGTCTCTATAGTAAGTTTCAGTAGAGCTGGAGCTATGTAGAAAAACCCTGTCTTTTAAAAATACAGCACACAAACCCACCAGCAGTGAGATTTATTCAAGGTCCGTACAGAGTAGAAGACCCTACTACCCAACTGTTCTCATTGTCTTTACTTTTGAACAATCACATGCCAGACTTAGTAAGATGGTCTCAGAAACCAACTCCTTAAAAAATAGCTCCACTGTATTGCTTCTTGTTTGTAAGTAATGGCCAACCTTACTAATGTTTTTTCCTGCTGTGCTAAACAGGCCTGCATCCAGGGCTTTGCATATGTTAGGCAGGCACTCACTCCTAAGCTGAGATGTCCAGCCCATTGCCATATTGGAGTTGAGGCCATGGTTCAGTGTTTCAGTTTCCTGGGCCTACATAAAAAGATAGAGTGAACTGGAGGGCTTGGGACAATGCACATGTGTCCCCTCATATTTCTGGAGGCTAAAAGCATGTGGTGTCAGTGTCCTCAAGGCTACAGTCCTTTTGAAGGCCCTAGTGAACACCATCCATATGTTTGGCTTCTCATGGCTCTGAGCAGCCTCAGAATTTTTTGCTTTCAGCTGCATCATCTAATCCCGGCTTTACCCTCCACATGGCTATTATCCCTGTGTCATCTGTGGTCTCACTGTTAGATCTCTTCTTTTATAAAAGCACTGGTTATTGGATTTAGGACCATCCTAATCCAATATCGCCTCATCTTAACTTGATTATGTCTTCAAAGACCCTATTTCCAAACAAGGTCACATTCATAGCTTCCACAGATTAGGGCTTGAATTTAGCTTTTAGGGGAGCCCAATTCAAACCACTCAGTCACTGCCAGTGCACTAGCAGAGACTACAGGCTTTCCCTTACCTTGTATCAAAGATAATTCTAGATCTTCAAGTATTTTTAGTTAAGGACTAGTCCAAACTCAGAGCAACTCAGAATGAGTTTTCCTTTAAAATGCTGAGTTAAAAAAAAAAAAAAAAAGTTGTAGCCCAATAAACACTTAGCACACCTCTCGGCAAAGACGAGTGAAACCAGAACCCCTGACTCTGAGTAAAGGACACTTGTCAGTTGATTAGCAGCTTAAATGGTCTGTGAAAACTGAAATTGCCTTCCAGAGCCCCTCTTGGGAAAAATAGAAAGCACCAGAAAGTAACCCTTTTAAAGGCCATGCTAGCAGAGACCTGCCATTGAGAGAAAAGGCCGATGTTTAGGTGCACTGCTGTCCTTGGCCAGAGGCAACTGCATGGAACACAGGGACTGAAATCATTCTGGTCCCAACTCAGTGAGCCATGGGAAGGGTGATGTAATGAAGATGAAGGAAGAGGGAACCCAGGCTCTTCTTTTCCCATCCAGAGGTTGAACAAACTTTTTTTCCATCTTTTTCTAATGTTTTATATTAGATCTTTTGAACTGTGTGTGTGTGTGCACATGCACACGTGTTTGTGTGCACATGCTCACATGTGTTTCTTTGTTGTTGTTTGATTACGGTAAAACACATACAGCATGAAGTTTCTCAGCTTAACCTATTTTTAAACATAAAGCTCAGGAGAATTAAGTGCATCCATGCTGTTATGCAATCAGTCTCCAGAACCCTTCATCCTGTGGTTATTTTTAATAAGGAATAATGAAAGCTGTATTTCAGCTTGGCCAGTTAAAACAGGAGCAGTTGTGTGCCTTGTCACTAGGATGTATTTGCAGGTGTCAACCATGGTGACCTCTTTCTGCCCCACCCTTTCCTGGAGCCTGACTGCCTCAGCCATTCTGTTCCTACAGTATGAGAATCCACCAGCCATGGACAGTAGCAGCACACAGAACTGTGTCTTCCATCTGGCCCAGTTTACCCTCTGGCAATGGAGATAGGAGGCTTGAGATCAGAGGAGGTTACAGGGTATACTGTGGCTCTTACTAACCTGTCCATGCTTGCTTCCAGGTGAATATGACAACAGATTTGGAAGGGAGTGACATGTTGGTGGAGAAGGCAGACCGACGGGAGTTCATTGATCTGTTGAAGAAGATGCTGACCATAGATGCTGATAAGAGGATCACTCCCATCGAAACTCTGAACCATCCCTTTGTCACCATGACACACCTGCTCGATTTCCCCCATAGTACTCAGTAAGTGTCCTATTGATCCTTTGTATCAAGGCCCAGATAGTAAATACATTAGGCTTTATAGCCCTCTTGTTTCCACTGCTGCTTCACAGTTCAGCTGAAAGCAGCTGTAGATAAAAGCACATAAACAAAGTCAGAATCTGCATCCCAACAAAGCACTTAGAAAACTTGTGAGGGTTAGATTGGGCCTAAGACTAAATTTTAGCAAAAAAGGAGGGAACCATAGACCATGGGAGACCTTGGGGCCAGGTAAACTTGGATATCAGTGCACAAAGGGAAATAGGAAAAACAACAATGCTCTAAAGCAGTCTAGCATCAGTACCAACGGCTGAACCCAAAACTGTCCTGGACTAAACAGGTTAGGTTTGTTTGGATATGTCCATTTCCTTGGTATACCATGGGCTGTACCAGGCACTTGGGCACAATGAGGAACAAAGTAGACTGAGCACTTGCTAGCTAAGCTGTGGTCGTCATAGAGGAAGGTTTAAGACAATGGTTGTTTCCAAGAAACGAATAAGGTGCCATAAGTCTGCATAACAGGAGCTGGCTCAGCCAGAGACCCAAGACTGTAACCTCTGAATGGTCAGGGAAAAGATGGGTATGAGAGGTCAGAGCATTGCCTCTGTGAACTCTCCAGCATGACTAAGCACAGACTGAGGGACAGAGAGTAACATGCCACGGCCACAGAAGTAAGCTAGAGCAAGCCATGCTCAGAGATGATTTTGTCTTTTGTCAAAGCACAATGCAACTCATTAAAGTACTTAGAAGCAGGTGAATGGCTGGTCAGATTCGTGTTGAATACAGATCTAACAGCTGCCATATCAGTAATATAGAAAAAATGTCTGTGGGACCTTGCAACTGGGAGGGTGGTGGTCACTTAGTGACAGCCATTTCCAAGCAGAAACTTGTTCACCAGGCTGAAAGATAAAGTGAGAGTAGAGATGGTGGCCTTACAAGAAGTGAGGCTGTGAACGGGGAGGGAAGAAGTCACAGAGGAAGAGGATCCAGGGACTCCTGATGAGACTTGATAAGCTATGGGCAGATGGCAAAGGAGAACGTCTCCTTTCAGTGGACTAGGGGAAGGGGATAGGGGGGAAAAGGGAGAGAGGGTGGGACTGGGAGGAGTTGAGAGAGAGAGCTTCAATCAGGATATATAATGAATAAATTGTGAAAAAATTAAAAAATAAAAAAGAGGGGCTAGAGCGGTGGTTCTCACCCTGAGTCACTGCTCCTTTGGGGGTGGAATGACCCTTTCACAGGGGTTGCCTAGGACCATCCTCAATATCAGATAGTTACATTACAATTCCTAACAGTACCAAAATTACAGTTATGAAGTAGCACCGAAAGTTATGATTTGGGGTCACTACAACATGAGGAACGGTGTTAAAGAGTCTTAGCATTAAAGGGTTGAGAACCACTGTACTAGAGGAAATTTTTTGAAGAGTGGAGAAACTTAAGTGTCCCTGGTAAAACATGGGAAGAATCTGGTAACAAATGAGGGGTTCAAGGAAGAAGACACTTGTGACCAGTTTCTGTTGAGTTGGTGTTTACAGCTGAGTGGAAAGATGGGCCCTGTCAATAAAAGATGGCAGGCAGGAGAGACATATGTGTGTCAGCAGGTACACTGGACAACAGAGGAAAGTTGAGAGAGTTCCTGTCAGACAGCTTTTATCTCAGAAATAGATGATGAAGTCATCTGTTGAGAACAGGATGGCTTTAAAATTGTAAACCATTATGATAACTGTAGCTGGAGAGATGGCTCAGTGGATAAAGCATTTGCCACACAGACGTAAGGACTGCAGTTGAAATCTCCAGCATCCATGTAAATGCCAGGAGGCCTGCCTCTAATCCCAGATCCCAAAAGGTAAAGACAGAAAATCCCACAGCGAGCTGGCTAGCTAGGCCATGTGAAAGGCACTCAGGGGAACTGAAGAGATAGCTCAGTGGTTAATAACCTTTCTGCTTTTCCAGAGGACCTCGTTTCAGTCCCTGCAGATACATGGTAACTCACAACTGTATGTAGCTTTTGTTTCAGGGGATCCAGTGTCCTCTTCTGGCCTCCCTGGGCACCAGGCAAACATGCAATGCACAGACAAACACATAGCAAAACACCTATACATATAATAAATAAAAATTCTTAAGTAAATAAGAAAGACCCATGGGGGCTTGAGAGGTGACACAGCAGTTAAGACCACAAGGACCTGTAACTCCAGCTCCAGGGGGTACAAGCTCTATGGCCTCCTCAGGCACACACACGTGATGCACATAAACTCATGCCAGCACGAATACACGCACATAAATAAAAGTCAAGTTTTAAGAATAAATAAAGAAACCATGTCAACTTCTGGCCTCCACATGCATACCCACACACCCACAAACAAGCACATGCTCCCATACACATATGCAAAAAAAAAGAGTGTTAAGAAAGAAACAGAAATCGCAAAGGAGAGATGGGGGTAGGAGGGACAGAGGAGAGAGACAGAGAGATGGAGAGAGAGGGTCCTGGCACTGAAGCAAAACATAACAGCAAACTAACCAGAGAAATATAGGAGGATGCTGGGTGTGGTAGACTATATTTGTAGCCCCAGCACTTAGAAGACTGAGGGAGAGGGAAGGAGGTTGAAAGAGCTTTGAACATTTGAGTCTGAGCATAAATTGATGGTGTAAGTGACCTCCCCAAACAGAGGCATAAACAGTTGAGCTTGTCCAGGTTGAACTGCTGCCAGGTTGTTAAGAGAAAAGGACAAATGGAAGTTGATGATGCTGGTGATACAGAAATTATAATCCCAAATGGAAGCTATTGAAGGTTCACCTGAAGGAAGGGAAATTCATTAGATCCCAATGAATTATGTCCTCTGGTCAATTCTAAGGTAGTTATGATAATAGTTACATTTAAATGCATTAGATGGGTGGAGAATGAGGCCAAGGAAAACAGGGTACTTGAGCTTGACCTAAGAAATAGTCCCAGGTCTTTCAGCCCAAAGAAGGAGTGGTGAGGTTGAGAACAGGTCCTGAGTGGGAAGTGAAGGTGTTTGACAGGTTATCAATATGGCTACTGAAATATTCCTGGGTAGTCAGAAAATAGCTTGGAAAGGATGACCAACCTGGTGGCAAAGGTCTCTGAATGAGAAGGAGAGGAATGGGAAATGGGTTATATCACTTCAGGCTTAACCCTGGTGTGCCTTGGAAGAGTAGACTCACATTCCTGCATTTCCACAGGGAAAGTAGCCTCAAGAAAGCAACGGGTTCTCTTAGGTCCTGGGATAAGAACTATTGTGAGGAGAGCCTGGAGATTGATATTTGCAACCACAGTCAGCAATGCTATGACCAAAATTAGATTAGATTGAGTCTCCAGGCTGGACCCAACCTTTCCCAGGCTAACAGGTGGGCCACACCACCATGGAGTGTGTGTGCGTGTGTTTAATGTCAGTTCTTTAACATAGCAGTGAAATAAGTCAACTTGCACTATAGGATCAGACAGTATCTCTTTAATTCAGGGCACATTTGAAACAATCAAGTTCTAGTGCAAAGAGGGACTTGCATCCAGCCCTTCCAAACTCAAGTTGTAATACCTGTGCTATTGCTCCATAGGAGGCAGTTAAGGAGGTATCAGTCTGTCCCACAAGAAGAAAGGCAAATCTCCCACAAAGCCAGCCTTTCTAACTTGAAGAATAAAGAGAAATGATGGAGAAACAGTGAGGTAGGGGGTCAGGGAGGCACATGCTTCAGAGAGCTCCTGTTGGCCATGTGCATTAAGTCAGTGGACTGTCACCTCAACAGCCTGAGGGCTTAGACGAGCAGGGCCCTGTCCTTCGTGTTTAGTAAGGAAATCGTCCTCAGTGAAACTGAGGATCAGTAGCAATTCAGAACTCAGAAGGTCAGCCTAAAAAAGAAAGGCAGGTCATCCCTTGGCCTACCCGAGAGTAGGCTGAGTCTTTGTGGGTTCCCAGAAGACCATGAACTCTGGATTGGGAACCAGCCTGCAGGCCTACCCACCCTGCTGTGGACTTTACCCTGGGGCTGGGCCTAAGCTGCTCTAACATAAGGTTTTGCAGATAAAGCAAAACCACTCCTTTCTCTGCACTGAGAGTTTAGTGTACATATTTGTAAAAGCCAGTAGTCTTAGAAACTAACCCAGAGTAGAAGTGCTCATCTCATCCTAATAGTCAAAATGCAGCCCACGACAGTAAGAAAACTCTGAGTCTGAAGCCTATACGCTGAGCCATCACAAAAACCTTGACTACTTTAAATGCATTCTAAAAAGAATGCATCCAGCATCATTTTATTTTCTTCAGCTCGATGTGAAAGCACTCAACAGTATACTTGGACCTGCAGGCATGTGCTGTTTACCAATGGATATGTTTTATTTTCTCTCTAGGACCATCAGTGTGTGTGTTTAGTATGCATTGTATATTGAGTAGCCAATAGCCAATGTGAGTAGTGTCTAGTGTAAATAGCCATTAACCTAGAAAGAAGTAGGATTCTCTAGGTCATGTCTATATTCAGTTTCTGAAATTTGGAATGTATCTTTCATGGAAATACTATTGTGGGGTAACCTATAAACACCCGCTTAGTCCAAAACGAAGCCACCTGTGGTATACAGCAATTTCTGCTACTCTTAAAGTAGAAAAGTCTTACCTTGTTTATACTCAGTTATTGCAATAAACATTTTAAATTGTAGATTAAATTAATATTTTTTTTAAAATATTGGCACTTGAGGGAAAGGGAACTTAGAAACAGAAGAGGCAGAAGCATTTGAGGAGCAGCATATGAACTGAATTGAGTAGAACACAATGGATGGTCAGGAGCTGGGATGGCTGAGGGCCACTCAAGGCCTTCAGAATTGGACCTGTACTCCTAACCTCTGTAGTTAGGGTTTGGGTTTTGATTCATCGAGACAATAGAGGAAGAAAAAGCAGGGAGAAAATCCTACTTCGTGTAACTAGACAAGAATGAGAAAAAAAGTAAGGAGTAGGAAAGTTAGGATTGTGTATGAGAGAGAGAGGTAGAAGGGGTGAATTGCTGTTAGTGGTTATCTGTCCTAAACTTTTGGCTTCACCTGTAAAATTGGAACAATGATCTTAATTCTGTCTTGTGGAGAGTTTAAGATGGAATAGGAGATTGCAAACACATATCACTGCTCTCAGTAAAAATTAGTAATCATTATCATTGTTTTCATTGTGTGCCAGGTTCCAGTGAGTTGAATCAGCCGAAGTTCATGACCCTGGAGAATTATTTGGCTGACCTCTAGGTGGTGCTAGTAGCCCAGGGTCACTAAAACGGGAAGAGGGAGAGACAGGTTGGCTCTAAGGAAGGTGAAGTAGGTTGCCAACAGCTCCTTAATATCCTTGGTTAGAGAGCTAATCTTGCTGGTCAAGAACTACATGGAGAATGAGCAGTGAAGAAGTAACAGAAGGAAATGAAGTGAAGCATGAAGCATGTCTGGGATATGGGAGTCTGCCCGTGCAGGATAGGAGAAAGGGCAACAAGACAACACGAGATTCTCTTAATGGTGCTGACAGTATCAGAAACAGACTTTGAGAAGGTCGGGGTTTTTGAAGCTAATGTAGAGCTTCCGTGATTGTTTTGCTTACTGGATTAACCATTCTCACCTTTTTTTCACTCTTTTCTCTTCTTCCCCCACTCTCACCTAACTCCACCTCACCCTCTTTCTTGTCCCTGTGTCTCTGCCTTTACCTTTTGCATGAACAGTGTCAAATCTTGTTTCCAAAACATGGAGATTTGCAAGCGCCGGGTGAATATGTATGACACAGTGAACCAGAGCAAAACACCTTTCATCACACATGTGGCCCCCAGCACGTCTACCAACCTGACCATGACCTTTAACAACCAGCTGACTACTGTCCACAACCAGGTGAGTGGTAGGCACCAGGGAAATGTGGACAGGGCCAACCACATACTCATTAAAACTCAGATTTCCCCCACCAAACCCAGGCAGTTTTTCCTGTGTTGTCCTTTTGGGTCTGTAAGCTAAAGTATCTCCTCAGCTATTTTTTAAGAAGCCAAGGGTGCTCTCTTCTGATTAGTAGGACTGCTTCCTGAGACGGTGCCTCTTCCCAGTTTCCTCTGAGCTGATGTAAGAGTAGAGCCTGCTAAAAAGTTCTAGAACTAGAAGGAGCACAAGTCCATCTGTGTCCTCTTTGTACCACTGTGTCCATACAGTCTTTATTCAGAAGAGGTAAAACCAAGTCCATTCTCTGTCATAGAAAAGCCAGCTCATGGGTCTCTTATCAGAATCCTAGCAGCTTTCCCTGAAGGATACAGGAAGCTGAGGTTTCCTTCACATGGATTTCCAACCTTCTGTAGCTTGGCAGGCTCAGCAACATAGAACGATGTTTGAAATACACATGACACTCAGAAATAGGTACTAAGTGAAGAATCTCTACATCCTATTCCACCGGCCTCTAGAATCTGAGTGACTTGAACTGTTACTCTCGTCTTCCAATCTTATGAGTTCCCCAAAGAAGCATTCCCAGACTTTTCCATCTAAATATCAATATAATGACAACAGTGTTCCAGTGTGTTGTTCTTACCTGTGCACAAGCACAGATACCTTCAGAGCAGTGAAGTAAATATGTAAGGCTGATATGTGAATGCCATCACCTGGCTGTCCATTTTCTGTTGACGGGTCCTCTCCTGTCACTGAGAAGCCACTGGCCCCTGCTTTTTAGCACTCCTGCTACTCCCCATGCTTTACTGGGCCTCTTGGCTTGTTCCCTCCTGACTTGACTTCCAGTTGCTAGCTCTCCCTCTGCTTAGACTGAGTGCCATCTGGAATCTGCTGCCCCCTGGAGGCTATCAGCGTTCTTGATGCCATCAGTAGAGTGAGTGAAGAACTCATACTATACCTTTAAAGACTTTTCTTACCAGCCCTTCAGCCAGCCCTGAGGTTAAGGCCTTTGGATCTAGGGCTTCTCAACCAGAAGCCCTCATTACCTTGAAGCTTGCTTTTCCCATCAGTCCTTAGGAGACACTTAATCCTAACTCTCTAAACTCAAATTACTTGTCCCATCTGCCATCTGTCTGTACCTTCCATTAAAACCATCTAAGATCATGATGTGTCAGGTCAGGTGAATCTTTCCACCCTGCAGCCGTTCCCTGAATATCATCATCGCCTTCAGACTAGAGGTCTGTAGGGTCACTGTCCATATCAAAACGGGCCACCTCCATGTTTCCTGTGATATGGCAGCCAGCACATTGATTCCAAAGAATATCACCAAAACTGAAAATCGAAAAAGCAGGTCCCAAATAAGAGCACCTCTCTTCTCCATGACACTGAGACTTGCAAAGCTGACCAGGTTGAACTAGAGTAGAAAAGCTTGTTAATATGATGGTGGGCCTGAGCATTGGGGAAATGAAATGAAATGCTGTCCTACAAAAACATGATACCAAGAACAAAGTCTCCAACATCTAAACTTAGAATTTTTGAGCCCTAATTACATATATCATAAGAACAAGTTGTTCAGGTTATAACCTAGACTCAAGCACTACGATGTGCTTTTCGTCTTTGGATAATGTTACTGAGTCAACATTTATTGTGTCACTTTTCTCAGCATGGCATCATTCAGTCCTTCCACATGAATACTGATTCATGTGGAATAGGTTTTATCACTGGCATTTTAGAGGAAGAAACTGAGGCATGAGGCAGTTAATCCTCTTACTTATGACTACGGTAGTATATATGAGGCAGGTTTGGGCTTAGACTCCATCAGCCTGGTTTCAGAGTCTGCACCCTTGAAACACATGCACTGATGAATCTTTAGTGGCATCTGCTCTTTAAACCCAAACCCCTTTTGTACATTAGTGACACAGTGCTGGGTTCCTTCCATGAGATCTTTGGAATTTTAAACATCATTTGGATGTTTAAAAGCAACAAAATATACGTACAGTCTTAGAGGAAGGACACAGAATTAGTTTCTTTGTAACTTTAACATATAGTAGACGAGCCATAGGCTCTCCCAAGTGTTTACTAATCTGTGATTGTTTATGTCTCAAGGAAGCATGGTCAATATGTCATACTTTCTGTGTACTTTCCAAATCTGTTCATAACATATTGAGCTAGGGAGTTCTCCCCTGGATGTTCTTGGTTTAATCCATAGAGTCTGCTGCTTTACTAACATTTCCAAGGTATCTTGTTTTAGGGGCATGTCCTTCTAACAAAAATTTTAACTGGATTTATGGGTCAGGCTCACATACTGTTCTTACAGATGTCAAACTGTTGAAACATCTAGTACAGCTGCATCCAAGAATCAGTTGGCCCATCTTTGCAGCATAACTTGCCAGTGAACTTGCTTTTTCTTCTTATTTCTCTTTGTTAGCCAAGACAGCTCTTAGAACCACAGAGGACAGGGTAAAAATCACCCTCACCTTCACCCTCACACATATTTTCATCAGTTGATCCCTAAGCAGTATCAGAAACTGGGAGAAACTGTTAGCATGACTACTGGCCATACTGCGAACTGGTGCTCATATCAGGACATAATTCCACTCCTGGTCTCCATGGTGAAACAGCACATGAGCTAAAACAGATCCAGATACATGTTGCACACATAGGGCCAGATAATGCAGACAAGCAGAGGACCACACGTGAAACCTAGGCCCTTCTCCCAAGGAGGCATTAGTCAGGATACTGACAGCACTGCCCAGCCCACTGTGTGGCATGAGTTGAGCTACACATCCACTGTACAAAAACAGACAGCTCATTTTTACCATCAGGGAAGGTTCCGCTTTGGAGCGCTTGTACCCAGGCTGGCCCCAAAGCACAAAGGCTTGGAGAAAACTCAGTAAGCCAAAGGATTCCAATGAGAGATAGCCTGTGTTCATAATAGGCTAGGAAAACAAGTAGACTAATCTGTCCTGAAGAAACAGATAGATACATTTATCTAGGAAGTTAACTGAGGGCCTATAGAAAGCAAGAAGTACCTGGCCAGGATGCATGCTCTGCATTCATGAGGAATTTGTTGCTAGAATTTGTGGGCAGGTGCTTAAGTGCAGAGCAGGGTGCTGATGTGCAAAGTGATGTGCAAAGAGAGAATGATCCAAGGCTGGAGAGATGGCTCAGTGGTTAAGAGCACTGGCTGCTCTTCCAAAGGACCTGGATTCAATTCCTAAATCCACATTGTGGCTTATAACCATCTGTAATTGTAGTTCCAGAGAATCCAGTCCCCTTTTCTAGCTTCTGTGAGCACCAGGCACACCCATGGCACACACATACATGCAGGCAAAACACCCCTACACATTTTTAAAAATTAAAAGAGGGAGAATGGTCCTGTGCCCCAAGAACTGAAAGAGAAGTAGAAAGAAGGCATCTCTAGCCAGGGACTTGCAGGTCCTGGGCACCAGAGAACAACTGAAAACAGTTGTTTTCTGTTTTCAGAAAACAGTGGATTCTAGGAATAGCTGGAAGGCGGAGGCATCAGAATAGTGACCGATCAGGAGATGGGATAGCCCAGTTAAACGGGAAGGCATTGGTGCCATGGCCCCACAGGGGACTCTCGGGGCCTGAGCTCATCGTGTTTGAGGTGACAGTGGAAAATGTGGTAAGGGAGCCGCTAGGAAGGATAATGGTGTGGGAAAAACTAGGGATGGGTGTTATGTCATCAGTACACAGACACTCCTCCATGTACATACATGTCCCTACCGTACTTCCAAGAGGCACTGTGTGAGTTGCTGAAAATGCACACACAGTTAAAATAGGCAGCTCAAAATCTAAATAAGTATGCCATAGAAATTTGAAATCATTTTCAAATAAATGTATTGTCTTGTACTAAAATTCAACACAAAATCTAACTATGTGGGGCTAGATACAAAGCTCAGTAGTAGATTTGTCTAGTGTATACAAAGCTCTGGGTTTGTTTGATTTCTCTAGCACACACACACATACACACACACACACACACACACACACACAAATCTGGCCTTTTTACAAAATTTGATATTAACTCCAATTGGAATTCTCTTTATCTAAGCATTTACTCACAGCCCACTTCCTCCTTATCCCTTAGTCCTTACAACCTCTAGAGGTACAACTCCTTCTAGACACTGTTCTGTCTGAAGCCATTGCTAACTTCTGCCTCTCTTTGCTTAAAGATCAGTGTGAAGAAGCAAAGGAGAAAAATATAAGAATTCCCAACAAAGAATTTGCTTTCCTTCTCCAGCTTTGTTTCCATTGGGAGTTTAGTTTCAGCAGACAGATCCAGATGTTTGCCGTATGCTGCTTGTGTGTGTATGCAGCTTGAGTAGCAGTCTGCAGTGGGCTAAGGGTGTCTGCACACAGCACTGTCCTTAGAGCTGAGCAGGAGGCTCCTTTTGGGGTTCTGCCTAGGCTTCCCTCCTGGTGCATAGGTTTCCATTATAAGGTCTGTTTATCCAGGACGCAGATCTATAGGAGCCACTTCCTGGATTTGTTCCCTCAAGTATACTTGGAACCAAGGGGAGGGGAGGATGAGCAAAGGTGGGGCTTGTGGGCTGGAAGCACAGTACAAGTGCATCTGAAACCCTCAAGTTGGAGGAGTCATGCTGAGGCACAGAGAAGGCAGGGCTCAGCTTTCCCACCCTCCCCATCATCATATTTCACTGTAAAATCCAAGGAATACAAAGGCTCTCCACCCAAACCTTGCCCTACTGGAATGAAACAGACTTTCATTAAACAATTTTATTTCTTTTGCTGTTGTTGGGTTTTTTCTCCCTTGTGGGGGGAGGGGAGTTAGGAGCTCAGTTAGCCAAAAATTAACCTTAAACTTCTCATCCTCCTGACTCATCCTCTTGAGTGCTGAGATTGTAAGAACTTGCCACCATAGCTGTTTTTATGCAGTGCAGGGCATTGAACCCAGGGTGTAATGCATGCAGGCAAAGCACACTCATTGAGCTACCTCCCCAGCTCCTCAACGCAATGGTTGCCTAGACTACATTAACTTTCCAGTAGTGAGCTGTGTGGGTTCCACAGATGTGAGCGTGCCAGTGCCTGCTTTCCTCTGAGATATTCAGCTGGATACCTGCCCTCTCTTTGCTTTATTTTTGCTCTTGGTTTATGTTTGCTCTCCTTTAAATTCATTTATTTGATTTAGATTCATGTCTCCCAACATACCACCTCCCTCATTTTTTATTTTTGTTTATTTTTGTTTAATCCCCACCATTCCTTTAGGCTCCCACCTCCACCAGTGCCACTCTTTCCTTAACCAATCCTGAAGTCTCCATACTAAACTACCAATCTGCACTCTACCAGCCCTCAGCGGCGTCCATGGCCGCGGTGGCCCAGCGGAGCATGCCACTGCAGACCGGAACAGCCCAAATTTGTGCCCGGCCCGACCCCTTCCAGCAAGCTCTCATCGTGTGTCCCCCTGGCTTCCAAGGTAAGGCTGAACTGGTTCTAACCCCTGCTGCTTCCTGGAGAGCTCACTGTCAGGGAAGAGAGCCCTCTTCCGTTCCTCCCTAGCAATGATGGTTATCGCTGAATTTGGAGGCTGGTCTCCTATTGCCATCAACCTATAAACAATTCGACTTGTGCTCTAGTACCAAGTCCATTTGTTGTTGTTCTCACCACCTGCCAGAGACTGTGGCTCTAGCCAGCTGCCTGGAAAGAGGCACATTGTCTGGTCCCATTGTTATGCTGATGTCAGCTCCAGCTTTCCTCACATGAAATGCTCTCTGAATGTTATCTATAGAAAATTGCCAGTCTCTGACAGTCAGCATAGGCCCACTTCATGTGGAGAATATAAATTTCTCTGAAAGTGCCTGCCCAGACCGCCTCCCCTTTGGCCATGATCCCAGAGCTCTTTTCCTGAGGACTTAAAACAGCTAGAGATGACTGTACCTTGAAGTTCAAGGACAGGTTGCAAAGCACCCATGTGAGCTGTACCATCCATATAATCCAGAAGGAGCCCTCCAGGGATGCTGTCCCCAGCATCATTTGCTGTGACACTTGCTTATATCTCCATGGGCAGCAACCATTGTTTTCCTCTTGTAATTTGTCATTTTTAACTGTACTGGTTTTGGCCATACATACTTTAATATCTTGGGGGAATGTTTATGGGAAATAGAGGACTACTTTTAGCTTAAGCTAAAAACTTAAAGGAAAGCATCCCATGGCTGAGCAGTAAAGCTAACTCAGCTGCTAGGAAGGGTCTTCTTCATCTGTTTGTCATTCACCTCCCTGACCCATGTACTGAAACAGGCCTTCAGGCCTCTCCTTCCAAGCATGCTGGCTACTCAGTACGGATGGAAAATGCTGTTCCCATCGTCACTCAAGCTCCCGGAGCTCAACCTCTTCAGATCCAACCAGGTCTGCTTGCTCAGGTAATTCTCTTCTGTATTGCTCATATTCCCAGCGTCCATGTTAATGCTTTTCTAAAAAAGCATTAACTGCATCTCTACTGACTCCCTCTCTGGTAATGAGGTAGGAGCTCCCAGACATTGGAATATGTCAGTAATGTTCTAAATGATCCCTGAGTGAATTACCTACCTAAGTGTCTAGTGACAATTCCAAGAAAAAATTTAGATACAGAGAGTCTAGGGAAATTATTATTATACCTTTGTAACGCAAATTCATCTAGGAGTCCTAGCTTTTAATCCTAAAACTGCTAGTAATTCTCAGTGACCTAAGGCAAGTCAGTTAAAATCTCTTTGCCTCCAATTTCCTTCTTGTAAAATAGAAGTGGTTCTTAGAGCCAAAAGGAGCCCTAGAGATTATCCATTCATCTTTAGAGTTTGAAAAACAGACATGCAGAAGCTATGGGCTGGAACCTTTCCTATCCATATAGGTATCCTAACTATGGAATGAGATCACAAAGATGGAAAATGTATGCAGTGTTATATAAATTTATATTAACGGTATTGGTGCAATATCAGAAATCAATCCTTAAAGAGACTTGATTTAATAACAAATGTATTTTCTTTATGCCAGGCACTTTACAGTTAATTTGTTTAATTCTCACAACATAGAGAGATATTTGTCTCTACTTGACAAGTAGGAAAACTGAAACACAGGGGCTTGCTCAGAGCTGTATGGTAGCCAGGTGTGGTGGCACACACACCTGCCATACCAGCACTCAGCTGGCTGAGGCAGAGGAATTGTGAGTTCAAGGCCAGGCTAGGCTACGTAGTGAGACTAGATCATCCTGCACTACACAGTGAGATCCTAAACACTGACAACTAGATGTCAGAACCATCAGAACCAGGACATATTCTAGACACAAATGTTCATATTTTCCCACCTTCTTAGACAGCTTCTGTATCATCTTTCTGCTCTCAGGCATCAAGGATGCCTTGACTTGTTAGTGTCAACTTTACTTTCAAGTAAGGTAGTTTTCCAAGAGACTTTCTCAAGGTGTTCTCAAAATAGTTTGTTTATAGAAGTGGTTTTCCTTGTTTTAATTTATAGGTAGTCAGATTACATAGGTCTGTTCTTGGCTCTTTTGTAGTCCATTGGCCTCTCTAATATCCAGTCTTTACCGACTATGTCTTGGTCTCTGGTGGGGAATGCCCTGTTCTTTTATAGCTCTTCAAAATTTTCTTCAGTATCCGGGTCTCTTTTCTTTTCCATATGCATTTTACCATCATTTATCCATAAGAATGCTGGTTTCAAGAAAGAAAGAGAAAGAGAGGGGGAGGGAGGGAGGGAGGGAGGGAGGGAGGGAGGGAGGGAGGAAAGTAGGAAGGAAAAACTAACTGTGGGGTAGAAAGATGGCCCAGTAGTTAAGAGCACTGGCTCTTCCAGAGGCTCCAGGCTCAATTCCCAACACCCACATGGTGTCTTGCAACTCTGTAACTGCCATTCTAGGGGATCCAATGACTCTCTTTTCTAGATTTTGTGGGTACCAGGCACACACACAGTACACAGAAATGCATGCAGGCAAAACACCCATACACATAAAAATAAATAATAAATATTTTACAGTTTTTGTTACTATTGATTCTATTGTTTATATATATTCTAAGCTGAGTAGGGCAGTACAAAATGATGTTTAATAACAGATGAAATCATAGCTCTTTTATTTCTGTCTAGTTTGCTTTCTAAAGGAAATTGTTGATGCCATTAGGTATTTTGTTGAATACCCATTAGGTATTTTATTTTCTCTAACTAATAGAGACAGTTTGTCATGTTTTAATTTTTAAATAAATATTGTATACATTAAGTATACTGTCTCATCTCTTTGAATAACCATGTGACTTAGTTACCTAATCTGTTAATGTAGTAAATTATACTAATAGATCTTATAATGTTAAGTAATCCTTATTTATTTATGAGATAAACATTTAATCATGTGTGCTTGATATGATAACATGCTTTTTGAGCTGAGCTTGCAGCTACTGTGATTAGTATTTTTTCTTCTGTGTTCATAGATGAGAAATGACATGATTTCCCTTTCTTAGGGAACCCTTATCTGATTTGAAAACACTTTGGGGAAATCTTTTGGGAAACTACCTTTCTTAAAAGTAAAGCTGATGCTTACAGGTCAAGCCTTGATACCTTGATTCCTTGATACCTGACAGTGGGAAGACAGTACAGGAGTTGTCTAAGAAGGTGGGATTCTAGGCATGTGTCTCTTATGCTTACATCTAAACTGACGCTGCTCAAGTGACAGCAACACCAGCAACAAGTGACACACAAAGTTGTGTGTATCTTGTTGAAAGGGTGTCAACAAAGAACCTGTTTTTAAAACAGGCTTGTCCTTTTAACTTTGTTATTGTTGTGGCATGGTTTTGTGGTGAGGAGTTCAAAAAAGGCCACTATAAATCAAAGAAGAGAACTACATACAGATTTGTCCAGGGTCAAGACATTTGTTCACCCTTTATCTGAGTGTAAGAAGTCCTGAAAAGCCTCCCGGTGAGCCTAGAATCTGTAGATGTCCCCGTGTACTTTCATAGATAGTTACAGACCCTGTTCTTGTATTTGCACACTGAATCCATGTGTGCCAGGAGCAAGCTCTATTAGAAACACTAAGCATGGCTTGCTAGTGAACAGAGACATTCCTCATTGTTCAGTTGAGTGGAACTAACAGGCTCAGCATTTCTGAATTTGTCTCAGTCCTTTAATCATAGTGGGGAGAGTCCTACCTCCTACTTATATGAAAAGAGTCCCTACTGTTGGAAACCTTCAAATTGATTTAACCTAAATCTGTAACTGGAAAAGTGAATAACCAAAAAAATATGTGTCTAGGATTTTAATTTTAATTGGTATAGGGTTTATAAGAAGGAAGCAAGTTGATTATTCTCCACTAGGGAATTTGTTGAGTTAACAGGTGACTGCATAAGATGGAACAGCACTTACCCACTAAGATGGACGTAGCTGACCTGTGCATCTTCAAATGCAAAGACTTTGAAGACACAGTTCTTATTTCTAAAAAATGCATGTATCCACCTAGCATCACACTAGCTTATGGTTGGCTAGCTTTCCCTTTTCTTCTGTTTGGTATTTAGCCTGTCCCCGTGTGCTAGCCTGTTAAAATGGAGTTCTCTCCTCTGCTTTTTAAATATATTCCTTGTAAAGGATAAAAACACAATAACTTAGGATAATAATTAAATATTAAAATTTAGGCCTTCGGTTTTTTTCTGTGAGTAGATTTCTAGGCTATCAGATAAGAGATTTCTAAATACTATTATATGCTTTTAAATATATCCCCAAATTTGATATTGCTTTCTTCTTTTAAGCATTTGAAACCCTTCGAAGACTTTGCGAAGGTTTAGAGGTAGACCCTTTAAATGCATTCTACACATTAGTTTAATTTTCTTTCCCCCCTTTCTTCCCATCTCCCAGCAGCAGCATGTGTCCCCTACAGAGAAACAAGGCTCTGGCACACCTTAAGGATGTGTGCATGGCAGAAGCAACACAGGAGTGACCCTTACGGAAACCTTTCTAAAGAGACCTTTCCTGATACCTTCAGAAAGTTCCATGACCTCCTTCCCAAGCCCCAAACCCCAGTTAGCATGGTGGCTACCAATGAAACTGTACTTGAGCACATAAAAGTGGGGCGATGGGAGGTACAGTTCTTGAGTGAGATAAGACTCTATTTAACACACACTCTCTCTCTCTCTCTCTCTCTCTCTCTCTCTCTCTTTAAGGAGCAGGATCTAAAATTCCCTCTCACTATCAAGATCAAGTCAGAAACTCAGAAATGCCAGATCCCTTCTAGACTCCACTTTCCATGAAGAGCTTTTTGCATTCTTGACCACTTGAGTAATATGGCCAGGGTCCCTTAATTTCCCTGAGGACAGGTGACCTCTTTAAAGTGTCCACTCTGCCAAACCCTCTCTCTTGCTCTAAGCCTCCACTGGTGGTATTTTCAGCAGCCAGTCTTTGCAGCCTCTGTCTTTCTGTCTACATTGTCACACTTGGCACTGAAGCTGCTAATGGAAGGTTTGTTCCTGCCTCTTCATGTGTTAACACCCACACCAGATTCCAAATAGGGCCCTCATGTTTGTGTTCTCCATGAAGTATGTTTGGATGTTGGCTGAGAACATGGGAATTAGATTGTCTGTGTGCACACTCCAACTGCACAGCTTGTTGGCTGCCTTTAGGGACATTATTTTTGACATTGAAATTTCATCCTTTTTCAAAGTAATACAGGTACATATTTTTTAAGTTTATATGACACCATGCATTTACTAAAAAATATAGTTCTCTCTCTATCCCACCTTTACTTCCTACTATCCCAAAACAACCTTTAACTTGACCATTTAGTCTTATATAAATCCATATAAATAACATTCTGGAATGCTTTTCGATTGATTCTCCCATTTGTTGTATTATAAAGTGACTTCCTATTGTATAATGAACCCTTCGATCTCCAGCTCATTCCTGCTCTTGATGAGCTTCATAACACATGGATTATATTTCCTTCCTTGTATGGCTTCCTGTCTAATGGCCATCTCATTTTTTCCACTGTAGATCTTATTACTCAGCCCCAGATCATCCTAAAACCATAAGTGGTTTCTGTGTTTGTCATGTTTAGGTTTTGAATATGTTGAGTCCCATGTGTTATTTGTCTCTGTGAAACCTTTTAGACCGTTCTCCTTGTCCACAGTGGTCTCAAAATTTACGACTTCATGCTTTCTTGCTGTTTTCCATTCCTTGTTCTGGACTCCCTGTTTACTTTTTTCTGTGAGTTTTGCTGCTGTTTTTATTGTTTATCCTTTAAAAATAGCTTCTATTTTCTCTTTGCAAAATTCTTATTAACTGGATATTATGTATGATGTGTAAAAGTGTTGATGTATGTATGTTTGTGGTGGCAGTTTTATGTCAATTTTGATGTAAGCTGGAGTTATCTGAAAGAAGAAAACCTTAATTAAGAAATTGCCTCCATAAAATCAGGCTGTAGGCAAGTCTGTAGGACATTTTCTTTCTTTCTTTTTTTTTTTTTTTTTTTTTTTTTCTTTTTAAGACAGGGTTTCTCTGCAGCCCTGGCTGTCCTGGAACTAGCTCTGTAGACCAGGCTGGCCTTAAGCTCACAGAGATCCACCTGCCTCTGCCTCTGGGATTAAAGGCATGTGAGGCATGTGCTACCACCACTCATGGGACATTTTTTTTAATGATTGATAGGGAAGGGCCTGGCTCATTGTGGATGCTACCACCCCTAGCCTGGTGGCCCTGGGTTCTATTATATATTGAAACAAGGTCTGTCTCTCTTGTGAATCTAGACTTCCCTGCGTAGTTAGTTTACTACAGAGATCTGTCTTTGTCTCCCGAAGGCTGGGAGTGCAGATAGGCCACTACGCCTGCCTGGGATTTACATGGGTGCTGGATATCTAAAGTCTGTTCCTCCCACTTTCATAGCAGACATTTTACCTGCTGAGCAGTCTCTGCAGCCTGGATGTCAATACTTCTAGATCAACCTTTCAGTGTCTCTTATCTTTTTCTTGTGTGTGTGTGTGTGTGTGTGTGTTCTATCTATACTACTTCCTGAGAAATCTCTTTCGCTTTTTTTGAAACTGTCTTTTTGAATTCTCCATTTCTATGAGCTCCTTACTTTGCTCCATATGTACATATCTATATGAAGTAAAATGAGTGTATTTTTAAACTCTGCAGACATTAATTATAGACCGTTATAGATCTTTGGAAATTTTTTTTATTCCTTCATTGATTTTGTTTCATGTGAGTTTCATTTTTGCTTTGCTCTCTTCCACATTAGATGTTCACTAAAGGCTACCTGTTGATGCATAGTTAAGACTGGAACACTAAACTGCTCAGCACACTGAGAAGGCTGACAGTGAGGGGTGGACACTGAGTGTGGGCTCCCCTGTAGAGTGACCAGAGACAAGCATTTTCACTGGCAGACCCTTACCCTCAAACACCACACCTGGACCTCTCGTCTCTTGAACATCTCAGTTTCCCTGGAGAATCAGCCAACCTCTGGCTCTGGGGAGAGTAGACACCTGCAGGGATCTAGCCTGGTTTCATATGCAGATTTATTTTAGAATGATTCAATCTGCTAATTTTCTTGGTATTTGTCCATGTGCTGTTACACCTCTGAAATCTTATTAACTGTTATTGTTTATCCTCTACTCTTCTTGCTTTTATGAATCTATACATTTTATTTCTTTTCTGTCATGTTAGATTCAGAGAAAACAAATAATTTTGCTACATTTTCTAGACAAGTCATTTAACCTCTCCATCTCAGTTTACTCACCAAAGAAATGAAAAGAAATAGTAGTCCTTACCTCACAGGACCAATATTAACTCCAAAAATCCATTCATGACTTAACACCGCTTGACACACAGCATGCATTAAGAAATAGTAGTACACCCCGATAATCCCAGCACTTGGCAGACTGAGGCAAGGAGACTCTTGAGTTCAAGTGCAATCTGGCATACATAGCAAGAGTCTGTGTGTGTGGGGGGGGGGGGGGTGGCGGGACTTAGCAGTATGACTTAGCAGTTAAAAGTGGTTGCCTCAAAAGCCTGATGACCTGAATTCAGTTCCCAAATCGCAGAGTAGGAGGAGAGAACCAAGAACTGACTCCCAAAAGTTGTCTCCAGAACCCCATATGCATGTATGCACTCACACATCATAAATACATAACCAATAATAATACTTTAAGAGAACTAGTAGTTGCATTCCTAGCAGTAGTAGCAGTAATAAATTATAGATTTGATGTATTGTCATCTAAATGAGCTGACTGCATTTGTAAGCATCACTTTCACAGTCGGCGAAACAGGCTAAAAAAATAGCCTTTTCCCTCATGGCCTTGAGGAAAAATGCTGATATTCAGGGAGATGGGGGTTGAGGGGGAGATGACCTTATCTTGATATCATGATACATTTTTTTAATGACATTAGTCAAAACACGTGCTTTGCATAGAATTGGAAATGAGTTCCAGATCACTAAGCTGTAAAAATCTTAACTGACAATGAAATTTTTATCATACACACACACACACACACACACACACACACACACACACACACCCCATACACAGTCTCATCATGAACGCTGGCTGACCTAAAATTTGCCATGTAGATCAGGGTGGCCTTGCACTCACAGAGTCTAACTGTTTCTGCCTCCCGAGTGCTGGGGTTAAAGGTATGCACCACCATACCTGGCTCTCTTAATATTTTGAATTTATAGTGGTTTTACTAAATAAATTATATTTCCCTGCTGTGAACTCAGTAAACTTGAAATACAGTTAATTATTATTAATAAACTTAGAGACTTAATTCTTTCATTATGTCAGCTGACATTAAATATTGATGGTATGATCAGTGGTCTCTGAGCTTTTGGCCTATATCACAAACAAGCAATATCAAAATCTATATGAGTTCTCTTGAGCTACACTGAGAACCTGAGAATGATAAAATGGGAAATGGGATGGATCTGATATATGCTTCCATCATTTTTATAAGCATTATACTTCTTAAGTCTTGACTTGAAATGTAGTCCTTTATAGAAATGTTTGTTTATACAGGAATCAAAACACACATATTAAACACATGCCCACTCAGTGGAGCACTGAGTTAGAAAATGTTAGATTGGTGTTAGTCATGTCTGGCTTCATGGAAAGAGAGAAATATAACTGAGAAATCAAGCCCCTCGACCTTTGACTCATCCAAGAAAACACCTTACCTTAGTGGCAGTTCTTTAGGTGTCCACCTTTGGACATCTGTGTTCAGTGAGAGTCATTTGATGACCAAAACAAGCAGAGAAGAGGTGAAGGCACAGAGAATTGGAAACACATTTTACATGTGCACACCCACAGAATAACCCATTAAAGGAAGATAGCATATTTTGAAGATGGAAGAGAGAGTTCCTACAGTCTCTTGTCTTTGTCTTAAGAAATTGATGTTGTCATTTAATCTTAAAGTCACGGCTAGGTCTGTTACTTTATTCTACTTTCTTAGGTGTAGGCCAGCACCAGAGAGTCTCCATGTTGTGAAATATAAGAATCCAGAACGTGAGGCTCTGCGTGCCAACTGATAAACAAGTCAAGAATCAAATCCAGGACACTAGATAGAAGGCTTCCTGAGGGCAGCGTGCTACCTCATGTGGCCCGCCGCTAGCTCAGTCTTTTGCATATAGTTTACAGAACAAGTCGATGGTTAGATTTTTAGAGAGCTACAAACTTGGTTCAGTAGAACAAACTCAGAAAGAAACGATCTTTAAGATGAAGAAATTCTTTCAGAATCTCTCTGTAGCCCTTTACCTATGCATCTGTTTTCTCCCTTGGTTTTTAAAGCCGACAACTAGTCCACACTTTGACAGCTGTCAGAAGATCTAGCACAGATTCAGATTCTGGACCCATGAAAACCTACTAGGTGTTGGACAAAAGGTGATGGTTGTGAATACCCTCTGTCTCACAGCAGGCCTGGCCCGGTGGGGCCCAGCAGATCCTGCTTCCCCCAGCCTGGCAGCAGCTGACTGGCGTGGCCACCCACACATCGGTGCAGCATGCGGCTGTGATCCCCGAGACCATGGCAGGCACTCAGCAACTGGCCGACTGGAGGTAAACAGGAAATCCTTCTGGGTGGAGAGTGTTTCTGGGATAGGAGTGTGTGTTCCACTGACAGAGAACATCATGTGAGCTATGGCCACAGTGTAATGGGAGGTTATTTAAACAATATACTGGGACACCAGAATTTCAGCTTGATTTGCAGTTAGCTGCTACTTTCTACCCAAAACTCAGTGACATCTTTTAAACACTAGTGTAATTTACCAGATCTGGCTGGTTTTTACCTCAGAATTAAGTTCCTTTCAGAAGGCAAACATTCATCACCAGTGAAGGAAAACAGAAGAGAGTCCCCAAAGCCCTAAGCAATTCTAGAAAGTGTTCTCATAAAGTCTTGAGACATAGGTGCCTGTCTGTCTGAGCTCCCCAGAGAAAGCTTGACAGACAAGATGTTTTTGGAAGGATGAACTCTAGCATGTTTATTAAGTGTGTCTCTTCAGCCTGTCTTATGAATGAGAGTTCACCTTCCACAGACCCCAGGGATTGCTGCTAGCACCCTGCATCTGTTTCCAAAAGTGTCCATGCAGTTTACCAGCATCCTCCTGAATGCCCTGCTCTGCTGTGTTCATGTGCACTTGTCACTTGCCCTCTGGCCCTCATGATAGCCCTCAAACTATCCCAAGCTCTGTGGACCCTTTGGGCTTTCCTCCTTTTGCAGAAAGTACTTCCTGCTAGCCTATGATAGTCTGAATACCACCCCAAGAGCTTCCCTAGTTCTTTTTCTGAATATAGAGTTGTTGGTTTCAGTGTGGTAGTGCGTATTTGAAGTCTTAGCACATAGGCTGAGGCAGGAGGCTCACCAGTTTGAGGCCAGCCTGAGTTCCATAGTGACACTGTCTAAATAAACAAGTAACTCACTCTCAGGAAAGGGTAGGCAGGTGGCTAAGTCCACTGAATCTTGTCTCTACTGCACGGTTCTCCCTTGTGTAAAACTACTTTCTGACCAGTAACAGGAGGAAGAGTACAGAGCTGTCCCCACAGCTGCACTGTGCATTCAATGGAAGTACTTTGAAACCAAGCAAAACTGGTTTCCACTCTAAGCTCTGTAAAACCTGAGGCGGGTTATTTAACTTTTATGGCCTCAGTTTCTTTCTCAATAAAGTAGGATCATGATGCTTAGCTGACAGGATTGTAGGGTGGGAGTTGAGGGGTGTCAATTAAAATTGAACACAGAGCACTTGGCCTATCTTTAACACATAGCTTAGCAGTGCTTGACCATAGCAGAATGAGTAATCTTGGCACCCTCCCTTCACCCACTCATGACGGCTCACACTCCAGTATTGCCTTTCTTCCTGAAGCTCATTAGGAGCAGCAGCCAAGTGGAAAGCTATCTGACCAGCTGTAGGGTTCCCCTCCCCCTCTTCTTCTCCGGAAAAACACCACCAGCACCAAGGTATCTCTTCCTTTGTCATTAGGCAGTTAGAGCAAACTTCCACCTCAGCAGTATTCATGTACTTATGCATATTTTCTTATTCTGCCTTCTTCTACCTCTCTTCCTCTCTTAGCTGGTAATCCCCATGTCTTCCCAGTCTCTGTCTTTCATTGTGGGCCAAAGAACATCCATAACCATGGCTAAAAAACAAAAGAGGCGCACCAGTGCTGCCCTCCTTTCGAACAGAAAGGGCCCAATAAACTGCAAAAAGAGGCCACCTATTTCCAGAGGCCATATACATGTCTAAAGACTATCAAAATCACAAAATAGACAAAATGTTTGTCTATTCATCCTTTCAAGTTACAAAGATGGAATTTTGTTGTTTTGTTTTTTTTTTTTAAGTTCAAATGAATGCTTCTTTAGCTTTTAATTTTATGTGTTAAATGGGCTTTATGGACAAATCTTTGAATTAATCACCACTTTAAACGTTTCTGTTGGAAAACAAGGCTTTCAGCACCATCCAGCCTAGATGGTAAGACTTTTAAGATGTAACCCATTTCCAGGATGCAGGCTGCCAGCATATTTCTTTCGGCTTGTGTATGACGCTTATTAATTTTGGTTTCGTGCAAACTCTATACACGTCTAGTCACCCTTCAGTTAATCCAATTGTTCATTCAGCAAGCGTGTAATTAACTGATCAGCTGCTGCGTGCCTGAGCATTGTGTTAGCTGCTGAGGGAATTCAAAAGAACACTAATGATTCCTAACGCCAGAAACATATGGCTACCAGTCACTAAAGTTTGTTTTTCACATTAACTACAATTTCCTCATTAATAAAATGGTATTTCTAAGACATCCTGCCTACCTCACAAAGCAGAATAAAAGAACCCATTGAAATTGCTTTGTAAATTCTAAAACAAAATGTGCGTATTATTGTTCAGCATAATCACCTGTTTAGGGACTTTAAAGGTTGGCAGAGCTATTATCCCATCTCCCTAGAACTTAAAAATTCTGAATCTACACACTTGACATTCTTTCCCCTTGAAAGTCTTGGTTGTCACTCATCAACCAGCTTGATTCCTCCTAGTTCCTCAACACATGGCTTCCATTGTACAGTTCTAGGAAGCCCACGTGTTGAACTCACCAGGCGAGGCTCCTCTCTTCAGCCACCTCATGGCATAGTGAGATAACTAATGTGGTCAGCCTTTACCTGGGGAAGAAGTTTCGTCTTATTAAATAGTTACACTTCTAGTAAATCACTAAGGGGCCTTGTGTTCTCTTTTTTTCTTTCAGGAATACACATGCTCATGGAAGCCATTACAATCCCATCATGCAGCAGCCTGCACTCTTAACTGGACATGTGACCCTTCCAGCAGCCCAGCCCTTAAATGTGGGTGTAGCCCACGTGATGAGGCAGCAACCAACCAGCACCACCTCCTCCAGAAAGAGTAAGCAACACCAGTCATCTGTGAGGTAGGTAATGAGAGCCTTGGTGGCCAGAAACACCAGAAGATTGAAATGCTGATCACCGCTGGGGAGTAGGGATTGCCAGGGCACTGCCCTGGCATGGTGTGGGGAGCAGCTCTTCCTACTAACTGGGGAAAATCTATAGCACATGGAACACTCAAGGGTTTTCTGAAAGCGCTCTCTGGGCTCTGTGCAAATGCAACCCTGCCTCCTGACTCTTTCTAGGTCCTGTCCCTCTGGCACTCAAAAGTAGAGGTCTAGAGTCATGGTGTGCCTAATATTTTGAGTGCTTTAGTCCTTTTTATTAAAGAAAAAGTAATAAAGTACAGTAAGGAAGTTTTGTTTGAGGCCACCAGGATGGGTACAAAGAAGCTACAGAGGGTGAAAAGAGTTGTCTCAGCTCTGCATAGCATGGACAATGAGAATTTGCAGCCAGGGAGTAGTGTCTAGGTCATGTAGGTAAAATAATACATAGGAGACAACAGAAAATGGAGGACTTTGGCTAAACCATCCTAACAGGATTCTCTGCAAGTTACTAAGCCATCACCTAAGGGACAGTGGAGGATGAGGAATCTGTTCAGATATTAAGTCTAGTCTGATATCAAGAGATGGGAGAGTGGCCTCTGGCTAAAATGAGTTAGCAAGGTTCTTAGCTAAAACTAGATTTTATAAAGAAGTGCACAGTTGAATTTAGGAGGAGATTCAAAGCCTGACTAAAGTTAGCTACACAATCTCTGTCATCTTTTCTAGAAAGAACAGGTCTCTGAAGTTTCTATTTGATTACAAATTATCAAGATATCTTTTTCAAAAACACTTAAAATGTGCTTTCTTTGAGATTTGAGGTGAGAAATATAACTCATTAATTTCAAAATAAGCTCTATAGCTAGCGAGATAGATCTAGACCATGAAACTACAGAATTTCTCTCACATGAACACATTTGTCTAATTGCTTAAATATAAGTTTGGTGACTCCCAAATACTTAACAGTGGACTGCTAATCCTTCCCATGTTCCTGAACTCTTAAGCCATCAAGATTGACACAAGGCCCCGTGTTACACATCACATCACTTTAATAAAGGCAAACAGAGATAAATTAGCAGTACCAGGAACTGGCCATGAAGAAAGGAATTTCTGGGAAGGAGCATGAATGGAAGGTGGTGAAAAAGTTCCATATCTGGGGTGTGGGTGGAATTTGTAACTATTTATTAGTCAGTAACTCATCAAACACTTCATAAGGGAGAAATTGCTGTATATAGTATCAACTATATAGTTCAGTAAGCCTGACTTTTTTAAAAAGAGGTTTCTAGGCTCCACTCTAAAAACAAACAATAAGAGCAAAGACCACAACCTATAGCTAATCAGATAGATTTAGATCATGCAAATACAGAATTGCTCCCACAATACCCAAATGACAGTGATTTAGATGCACGTATTTGTTTTTTTGGGGTAGATTGAACAAAAGAAACTGATATAAGATATATAAGATATAAGATGTCTAGTTGTTCTAACTTGCTTTTCTGTTTCTGTGATTTAAAAAAAAAAAAAAAAAAAAAAAGACTCTGGCCAAAAACAACTTAGGAAGCAAAGAGTTTATTCACCTTACAGATCAAAGTCCACCCAGGAAAGCCAAAGCAGGAACTAAAGCAGAGGCCATGAATGACCATGGCTTACTACAGGCTTTCTCCCAGGCCCATGCTTGATGACCTTTCTTATACAGTGCAGGCCCTCCTGCCTAGGGATGGCCTCCTCCACAGCCCCCTTAAGTCAATTAGCAATCAAGAAAATTCCCCACAGACATGCCCACAGGCCAATCTGATGGACACAGTTTTTCTGAGGTTCCTCTTCACAGGTGTGTCTAGTTTATCCAAACACTAGTGATTTTTTTTTTTCTTCTTCCAAGTGCTAGAAGTTAGATCTGCCTTGTTTCATTCTTATTCAAAAATTAATTCAAGGACTAACATCCCTCATACTTTCTTCTTAGGATATTTCTGATAACATGAGGAAAATCTGCTTAGATCGGTGGCAGCTCCTCAGTGCTTTTGTGTGGCAGTCCTGTGATAACATACCAATGTCATTGGGAGGCAGCAGAAGCCACTGCCTTGATTTCTTTGCTCCATCAAGCTCAGCCAACTGCCCTGCTAGAATGCTGATCAGGCAGAGCTGAGCTTAGCATTCTTGTGGCTATCCTGCTGAGTAGGCCTAGTCAGAACCCGTTGCCCCAGGACCAGTTCAGCGTGTGTGTGTGTGTGTGTGTGTGTGTGTGTGTGTGTGTGTGTGTCCGTGTCCTCCCCCATCTCCCAGCTTCCCACCACCCAGCTGCTTCATGTGGACACACTATGTGTGCAGGGCAAAATCAGTATTGCCACACAATGCAAATCCTGTCTTTCCTTCACTTTGTTGTTTTTTGAGTCAGGGTCTCACTTTGCATCCCTGCCTGACCTGGAACTCATCATGTAGCTGAGTCTTGGCTTCAGATTCACAGAGGTCCACTTGCCTCTGCCCCAGAGTACAGGATTAAAGGCCACCACATATGATACATTCCCTTCTTTTAAAGACCAGTCTCCAGCAACACTGTGGGAAACCACACAGAAGGCTATCTCTGTAAGGCAGCAGACATGCTTTTTCTTTAACAGTAAGTTAAAGTGCTGGAACTGTAAACACTGTAACACACCATAACAAATAGAAAAGAGAACGATCTTACCAGAAAACCTTGCTACCCACTCTAGAGGAGTTTACTAAGGTAGCTATGTCAAAAAACAATTTCACTTTTACTAAGTTATTTTTATTTTACTTCCACTTCTTCACTTAGAAGGTATAGACTCTAAGGACATAGCAGGGCTAAAGACTTGACTTTGATCTTCACTGCATGGGTACTAGCCAGGATGCACAAAGGCTTTGATGGGAAGAAAAGAAGGTAATTATGAAAACTTAATATAGAATTTCAAGTCAATCAATCTAAATTGAAAAGCCCCTTTTCCTGGACTAGAGAGATGGCTCACTGGTTAAGAGCCCAGAGCCCAGAGAGGTCTCAGCTCAAGTCCTAACCTCAGGTCCTGACATCCCCCGGTGGCTAACTGAAGGGCTCTAGAGGCACGACATTTTCTGTCACAGATGGAGGCCAACTGGCCTGAGCTTCAGGTTTTTTTTTTTTTTTTTTTTCTGTGGAGATTTGGTAAAGTTGGTGGGTTTTGGAAGTTGGGTCCCTTGGATGGAGATGTAGGGCCTGACTTTCTTTTGTAAGTATGTGTTGTTTTGTCATTACAGAAATGTCTCCACCTGTGAGGTGACCTCTTCGCAGGCTGTCAGCTCCCCTCAGCGATCCAAGCGTGTCAAGGAGAACACTCCCCCACGGTGTGCCATGGTGCACAGCAGCCCAGCCTGCGGCACCTCAGTCACTTGTGGGTGGGGTGATGTGGCCTCTAGCACCACCAGGGAGCGACAGCGGCAGACGATTGTCATCCCCGACACCCCCAGCCCCACAGTCAGTGTCATCACCATCAGCAGTGACACAGATGAGGAAGAAGAACAGAAACATGCCCCCACCAGGTGAGGCTGTGCATTCAGACTCTCAGGAAGGAGCAGAGGGCATGCTTCGTGCTAAAGCCAGGGATCAGAGCCATTCTCCAGGAAACATGGTGATCATTCCCTGCTGATCCCTAATTTTCATTTGCCATGTTCTTGGATCCTAAACTTATTTTGTGAGAGTGGCAAACAAGTTTGCCATAATTGTTCAAAACCAAAATAATTTTCAGTGATTTTGGCCTTAGAAATAGTTATAGTTCCTAAACATTTGGTAACATGAGACTATACACACTGGGCTTCCAATCCCAGTTTATTTTAACACATATAAGCTTAAAAATTGCTGCCTCTGGCTATTGAATTTATTTCCAGTTGGTCAAAATATCTCTCTAACATTGCCTTAGCTAACTTAGAATTTGAATCGTCCAATTAATCAGAAATTTCCCTATGTCTGATTAGCCCAATCCTTCAAACTTCCAGTTGGCTCTTCACCCAGAGAGCACTACTGTTTATTTCAAAGTAGCAATAATTCATTTACTCTGTGTGTGCTTCCTGGGTGGAGGGAAGAAATATTTATTATGTTTGCAAGGCTGTTAACTCTGGCCCCAGAGCCTCTTTTCTAAACTCTGCAGCCAGACTCCGGAAACATGTGCTACCAGCTCAGGTGGCCCAGGCAGGTGCACAGGAACGTTCTGTGCTCCAGGGGCCCTAGGCCTCCCAGAATCCAGTCCTACAACCACACCCCACCAGTACCTCTGAATTAGGAATGAGGCCAGGGAAGGGGCCTGCCACCTTAAGCCAGAACTTCCGATCATCATTGTACTTCCCACAATTGGGTGCAAGGTTCCATGTTCACAATTAGGCCCAAATTGTTGGTTGCTGATTAGATACAATGCTGCTAATTATTAATCACAAATGTTTTTGATGAGATAATAAATTTTCATCTTGCAGTCATTACAAAAGTTCAGCTAAACTGACTACAGCGCTTTCCCCATAGTGGTTCCCACAGGGTGCAACCCTTCCACCTCCCAGGTGAAATTTAGTAGTCTGAGTTTCACTGATAGAACTAGTACGTGTCCTCAGTAATGTGTCCTTCTTCCTGTTAAATGGCTCAGTGTGATCATCAGTGTAGTTTGATAATACACTGTTGTGTTTCTGTTCCTGCCATTTACTAGGCATCTGAGAGGACATAGGGTTGGTGAGACCAGGCACATGTTTTTATTCCATAGTAATTACACACCATCTGCTTCTTCCAAGACTGGCTTCACTTTCCTTTGTGAGTAGAGCCCCAAATGAGTTAGTGTTCCATCCTCCCAAGCCTGAGAATCCTAAGGGCTTACTCTTCTTCCAGAGAGGAATGTTCTTCCTACCCCAGACTGGCCCCTGGCTTGGAGAAGCCTGTACATAAAGCGCTGGCATAAGAAAAGCTAAGCAGCCTTGAGCACAGCTGGAGAAATGCAAAAGCAATTTAAAGACCTAGCTGTCAACTAGATTGCAATGTCATTTTTGATGTCTTCGATCGGAACTGACACCAACTCTGAACATGAGTACTGGAGAGAATTGAATAGAGGGTAGGAAGACAGGAAGATGAGTGCCGTCTCTCCAGCAGCCAGAGAACCAACAGGGCTGAAAGCAGAAGGCAAGTGGAACATACAACTGTTTCCCCCAGAGGAAGCATAACTCAAGTGTGTGGCAGCTTGTGAGAATTGTGCTGAAAATGCCTCCGAGGCTCAGAGGAAAGGTGGGCAGCCACATGGGAGGAACAACCACAAACTGAACCAGTGCCTTGATACAGTAAAATAGGGACTGCCAGCCTTCCTCACAACAGGGAGGAGACGCTGCAGACTGAAGCCACAGAGTGATGGTGACGGGCCTCAGCTACCCGCTGTGGTGACGGGAGCTTGCCGAGAAAGATGCAGTAGAGATATATTCTGCAGAGGTGAATGACTGATGCCTTAAAAAAATGGCTCAGTACCCAAGCAGATAGAAAAATCTACCTGAAGAAGCAACAGCCAGTAGCTCTTATTCATAGAGAAACCATTGTATAATTGTATCAGTAATTGTGACGATATTTAACAATGATGAAGTAAGGAAGTTACAATTTTACTTGTTCCTGGAAATTGTAATTACCATAAAATTTAACACAGTGAATATTTGCTCCCCACCCCCATTATAAGATAATAGTAACCAAGTGTTGTACAAATAGAGGAGACCATCTCTCTCTTCTTGAGGCTTGCAGGTAATAAGCAAAATAAGATATGCACAGATCATTCTGACAAAGCAGAGCATCTCTTCCAGAGAACTAACAAAGTCTTAGGGAGTTGAGGGAAGAGAGTTGCAGATTTAAGTGAGATGACTGATGTGGCAGAACCTCAGCAGAGAGCAAACAGAATCATCACAGTAGCGAAACCTATCCGAGAGAACAAAGAATGTTGGCAGAAATGTGTTTGGGCATGGGAATGGGTTTTTTGAGGCATTTCCCTCAGATGGGGATGGAAGATTTGTCAGATGTAATAAGCAGATAATATCATTTGAATAAAATGTATGTACCATATTAAAATAAAGTTATGGGGACTGTGAGGTAGCTTAGTCGGAAAAGCACTTGCATTCCAAGCCTAAGGACCTGGATGTGAACCCCAGAACCCACACAAAAAAGTTGGGCATGGTAGTGCATGCTTGTCATCCCAGCTATGGGATTACAATGGCTGACTGACCTTTAGCCTACTTGCCAAGCTGCAGGCCAGAGAGAAAGCTTGTTCAAAAACAAGGCAGACTGTCCCCTGACCTATATGCCTAGGCACATACACACAACCACACAAAAATAAACAGCAAACAAACAAATGTATCTTCTCTCATACTAATAGCTAAAATTCACATAACATCAGGAGGAGTACTTTCATCTGCAGGCCTTGGCTTGTCATCCTTCTCTCACTAGGGGCAGTTTAAAAGTAATCCTCTGGGGCTGGCCTAGAGGCTAAAAGCACTGGCTGCTTTTCCAGAGGTCCTGAGTTCAATTCCCAGCAACCACGTAGTGGTTCCCAACCATCTATAATGAAATCTGGTGCCCTCTTCTGGCATGTAGGCAGAACACTGTATACGTAATGAATAAATCTTTAAAAAATAAAGTAATCCTCTTGGTTGGGGCAAAAGGGTTGTGGGGACAAAGCATTAAGACTGGCTGAAACCCTCATGTCTTATTTTCTTCAGCTAGGAAACTCTCCATGCAAACCACCCTATCTCCAAAGAAAACCACTGTTAACAAATGGGCCCTGCGGACACCAGAAGGGAGAGTTTGCCTCATTTTACATTTCCAGTGTTTGCTAGGCGCCTCTCTGGGGGGGGGGGGGGGGGGGGGGGGGGGGGCAGAAGGCTGTGCAGCAGAGTGATTAACACTGCAGGTGCTTTGACCTTGGCAAGCAAACAACTCAAGCCCTTTGTCTGCAGTTCCTTGTCTTTACCTTGTGGTCTTGCTATAAGGACTGAAGGAAGTAACACATATACAGCACTGTGAATGGTTGCTGATATGCATCCAGTGTGTGTCACCTACATTTGGTCATCAGTGTTGTAATGGAAGAGTGGGGGTTTTCTTTTGTTTTGTTTGTTTCACATAGAGCATTTATTCTGAAGTCAGGGGAGATAAAGGAGTCATGGAAAGTTTATTGGAGAAGATGAGTTTTGACCTTGGTCTTGAAGGATGAAATTGACTGAGATTAGCAAATAGAAATCAGAACCACATTCCAGACAGGATCCTGCAGGGATGGGGTCAGAGGCTTGCATCTGATCCTCTGGCTGTATTTTCTCCTTTGTGGCTCATTTCTATACTTCTTAGCTCCTTATTTCCTTTCATCATTTTAAAATGATGAAAATCATCTATTGCCATGACAACACAATGCAGTCATGAGCTCTTGCTGCTTTGCTTCTTATTCAGAAGTGGTGTCTGTCAAGGCCATTTGAGCAAATATTTCTCATTCCCTCCTATTGCTGTCTCTCCCACTTCCATTAACCGGCTCAGAATGGGATTGATAAACTGTCAATAATAATTAGAGACAGCGGTGGGATGAATCCCAGTAGTATTGACATGTCTGAGCCTGAAGAAATAGCAGCGGCAAGCTTACATGTATACTTGGTTTTTAAAGTGCGCCATTTAGCAGCTTCCCATTGTTCTAATCTGGGTAGTAGATTTACCTAGAGCACAGACAAGATTAGAAACAGAGCTTTCAAACTAATTCATCTTTCCCAAATCTGTCATATATAAATCCAAAAAGATACAACGTTAAGTTGTGCCATGCTTGTTAGGTCATGGGGCTTCCCAGCTACAGACAAAGGGAAGAGCCTCATAAAGAGTTTGGGGAGCTTTTCCCACCTCCTCCTTCGCAGATAACAAGACACTGACATGCACCATTCATTTCCTGCCAGGCTTCTAGCTCTCATACGACTCTGCCCAGAAAACCTTCCTTCAATGACAGGGTGCTAGTTCACGATGCAGTTCATCATGCCTTCAGAAAGTTCCAGTGGTTAGGAAAAATGCATCTGCGTTAAGATGGAGCTTCTTTACAATTTGCAAATCTGAGTTATGGATTCCAAATGGGCACAGTTTGAATTGTGGTCAGATTTGATTTGAAGCCAGATTACAGATTGGTAAAATTAGCACTGTGTGTGTGTGTGTGTGTGTGTGTGTTGCTACACTTTCTCACTGTCTAAATAGTTGATAGCTAAGGGGGGGGGAGGCTCAGTGGGAACTGGCCAGGACCAGGTTTCTGTGGAAGGTCCTCTCACTGAAGAGATTTGTTCCTCTTGACATGAATAGTAGACTGGATTTTATCTTGAACGTCTTTCATAGTAAATCTCTGCAGGATATTCAACATGGGCCCTTTCATACTGCAAGCAATCTCTCCCATCTCCTCTGGTGATTTCAGGGTGAGCGAGAGCTGGATGGATCGTGCAGGTTCCCCAGGGTCTCACCTGTAAAAGTACAGCAGAGCAAGAACTAGAACGCTGTTTTCAGGACACATTGGGAGCCAACCTACAGACCCCGCCTCTGCAGCAGAACATACCCCCATTTCTGGAACTTGTAAGAGGAACCACTGTGTCTGAATTATTTAGTCAGATACAAGTGACAGGGACAGAAGCCCTGAGGAAGAACAGAGCAGCATGCCTCCTGCATCCCCCTGGGAACTTGCCTGGAGTGAATGCTCCATCGCTGGTCCTGGGAGCACTTTGTGCCTATGCAGGTGGGAGGGAGACCCCAACAGCAGGACATCAAAGAGTTCTGCTCAGAGACCAGTGCTTCCTTTGACCACTCTCAACATAGAAAAGGTCCTTTCCCAGATCTCCACACTGGCTCCCACGTAGCCATTGCTTTTCCCTGCTTTTCAGGTTCAGGGACGTTTTCCTAGGAACTCACTCTCTAGTTCTTGGGACAGATCTCAGTTATGTGTCCCCCTGAGACCTGCTGAGGCAGTGTAAGCTTTTTACTGTGGATAAACCTATAGGCTTTTAAAAATTAGAAATAATTCATATGCTGTACAATTCACCAATTCGCTGTGTGTAGTTCCCTAGGGAGACTGCACATTAGTTTTTTAAATTATGGTCAAACATGAAACTTGCCATTTTAACCACTCTCGGGCACTGATTGATTGACACCATTATCTATTTCTAAAACTTTGCTATCATTCCAACTCAATATTCTATGCCCACTAAATAATTCTACATTTTTCTCTGTCTGCCCCCCCCCCCCCGTCCCCAGACCTCTGGTATCTATAATCTATTTTCTTTTTGTACGAGTTTTCCTGTTCTAGATATTTCATGTGTTGAATCATGCAAAATTTGTTTCTGGCTTAGTTTTTGTGATACCTTCACGGTGCAGAGCAGAACTTCACTCAGAAGGTTGGAGAGATGGCTGGACAGTTAAGAGCACATATGCCTTTTGGTAGAGCTAGGTTGTATTCCCAGAACCTGTTGTCAGGAGGCTCACAACACCTGTAACTCCAGTTCAAGGGCATCCTGACACCCCTGGCTGCTGCAGGCACCCATACACGGGTGTGCGCACACGCTCACGTGTGCACACACACACCACAAAGAACAATTTAAAAAATTAAGTTACTGTGAAGAGCTGTCAATATATGTGACCAGTTCGTTCCTCCCCTTGTTTTGTGTTCCTAGCAATTATCTGTATCTGGAACACTCAGGTGACATCCATCATTCTAACCGGTCATCGTGGAGCTTCTGTTTAACTTGTCCTGTTGTTATCCGGTCTCCCACTGAGCGTTCATCTTCTCGGGACAGAGCGTGTTTCTGTTCCTTTGTGTGGCTGTTCCCTGTGCACGACTGTAGACCTCCAAGATTCCAAACTAATGACTTGTCATTCTCTTTCCTATCAGTCTTCCGGCTTAGCACAGGCTACAGAAAAAACTTCTTCTGCACGTCCTTCCCTCATAAAATTCTTTGTGCCTGATAAGGTTTTGTGCAGAGCTGCTTTCCCCTGTTATGTAAGGTATCACAACTGATGAGAATACAATTTCAATATCCTTTATCCAAAAGGCTTGGGATGCCAGGCATGCTGGCACACGCCTTTAATCCCAGCACTCAGGAGGCAGAGGCAAGAGGATATATGAATTCAAGGACCACCTAGATAGTGGAGCCCTGTCTGTAATAAAACTTGGGACAGGGCCTGCACAGGTCTAAGCCAGATGGGGCCCCAGCACGGAGAGAGGAAGTGGACACAGCCCCTGTCCCTAACTCAGAAGGTCTTTCCGATTGGTGACCACTCAAGGAGAATGAGTTCTCCAGCAGAGTCTCACTGCATACACACCGCCCGTGCGCAGGCCCCAGGCCCACCACTACGTGGCCAGCACAAAACGCGTGCATTTTTGTTTCACACGGAGTTGTCTGGACGTTTCTACCTTACAGGTCATTTGCTTATATCTTATGGTTTCTGATTTTGTGTTTTTGCAGGATTTCTCTGTGTGTTGGCGTGTGTGTCTCTGCATCTACATTTGGCTCTCTTGTTTGTTTGTTTTTGATTTTTGTTTTTGGTTGCCTAGTGAGAGAGAAAGAAAAGGTATGAATTGAGGTAGGGAGGATCTGGAAGAAGCTGGGGAAGGAAAAACCATGATCAGAATATATTATATGAAAAAAAAACTATTTTCAATAAAAATTAAAATTATTTTTTAAAAATACTTGGAACCAAAAATGTTTTTAATTTCAAGTTTTCCACTGAACATATCCCCTGAAGGAAATTTTGCACATTTATTTTTAGTATGCCTGCTTTTTAACTATCAGGTCAGACGTGGGCTTTCCCACTTAGGACACCATGGCAGCAATCAAAATGTTTTCAATTTGGGGGCATTTGGGATTTTGGATTAGGGAAGTTCTTCCTATAAATGAGAGTTGATAGTTCATCTCATGAACTACTTAACATGTGTCATGTAGCATTATTTTCTCACTGAGTCCTGAGAACAGCTTCTGTTATTACTCATTATCATTGTCTAGACAACCAACCCCAACTCGGAAGTTAAGGCCATGTCATCAGTATATACTAATGTTAAACATCTGACCGGAAGTCCATGTTCTAACCCATAGACCCAGCTAGGGCCCTTCTCCCTTAACCAGCAAGAATAGGCTGTGTGGCCACTAGAGGAGTGGCCCAGCCCTGGCATCACTAGTGCTGGGTGTCAGGAGCAGGGGCCATGTTCCCCAGAGCTTTCACCTGACTGACTGCCCTTCCAGCCTCTGTAGGTCCACAGCCTTCTGACCTTCTGCTGGCCTTCTGCCTAGCTGCCCTTGAAAGTTCCCACTTCCACACTCTCCCTCGTCTTGGAAAGAAAGAGCCTGGCCTGTGTCTGTGGCATAAGGCAAACCTCCTGGGGCAGGAGGGCCATTGGGAACCCTATCAAATCCTATAAGTACTAGCATTTTCCCATATCAGATTAGCTGGAAAGTGGCCATTTTGCCTAGGCAATTGTTATTTCTTAAAAATAAATGATCAACGTACAAAAATAGATGAGCATCCATTTTTAAAACCTTGCATAATACGCAATAAGTTCCACATCTGTCATCCCAGCAGCCTGTCACCAAGCCACAGGCAGATGGAGCTGGTTCCCAGAGTAACCACAGAAGCACAAAGCTCTATGGAAAACAAGTGCTGGCCAAGAGCCATTCCAAGCTAGCTCTTCCCTGTCTCCAGGTAAAGTTCCAGTTAGAAATGAAGGCTAGGGGATGGGAGCCCTTCACTGGTGGCATCAGCACCCTGGAGACTTGCCTTTAGAGTTCAGGATTGTACTGTCTCCTGACATTGGCCAAGGGGGTAGGAACTCTGCAAGAAGGCCAGGCCATCCCTAAATATGGGTACCCAGGGGACCTGGATAGCCTAAACACAATCACCCAAATCAACTGTTTCTACTCCTCAACATTTCTGCATTGCTGCTGCTGAGATCTTCAGTGCCTCAGTCCCTCCAGCAACATCCTGAATCACTGCATACCACTTCCCTCCCTGCCTACTCTCTGCTGATTCTCACAGGCCCAGAGTCCAAACTCAGGGTCAGTTCCCTTCCAGCTTGGTCTTCCGTCTGCCTGGTTCATCCAGGTTGTGTTTCATTGCTCAGAGAGACTCCTGTTCTAGTGGTCAGAGGGGCTGCTACCCACCTCTATGGAATCCACCACACAGGCACAGCTTAGGTCACCTTTGGTTGTGTCATTCACTAGCTTCCAGAAGCATCAGTGTGCCCAGTGCCAGGCCCAGCCCCACTCTACCTGTCTTCCCGTGTACCCTGGCACAGGGCACAGCCAGGGTCCTTTCCCAGAACAGGCTCTCTGAACGGCTGATTTTCTTACCTCACAGCCAGCCCACAGTTCTAACTTCTCCCTTTAACTTTGCAGCACGGTCTCCAAGCAAAGAAAAAATGTCATCAGCTGTGTCACAGTCCACGATTCTCCCTACTCCGACTCCTCCAGCAACACCAGCCCCTACTCGGTGCAGCAGCGCACAGGGCACAACGGCACCAACACCTTGGACACCAAGGGGGGCCTAGAGAGTCACTGCACCGGCAACCCCCGCACCATTATCGTACCCCCACTGAAGACCCAGGCCAGTGAAGTGTTGGTAGAATGCGACAGCCTAGGGCCAGGTAACCTGGAACCACAGCAGGCCCATAGCGTTTCTCTGCTTCCCTTGTTTTCTGCTTTTACAAATGCTAGTACTGGTGAAACAGAACATATCTAATTCTCTCAGGTCATGGACATTGTACACACAATTTTGTTCAAACAGCCACAGTGGGATTCTGCCCATTAGAAAAGCATCGCATTCTACGTAGCACGTTTTCCTTTGAAAATGCTGAAAGCATGGGTGTCCTCGGGTGGCTCTGCTTCTGTCATGGCACACAAATAAACATGAAAGCACCCCAGTTTCTTACAGACTTGTTTGGACATTCCTGACCTCTTTATAGTGGCCCTATTGGTGGAGCAAGTGTCTGGTGAAGTAAGCACTTGCTCTGAACTTGCCATGAGGGGATCATGGGCCCGTTAGCAGGACTTTCCCTTGGGCAGAGATCTAAGCACATTTCTCGAAGCTTTGCTTAAAGAACTAACAATTCAGTGAGGCTAGGGCCCTAAACTGGGCTCTAGCAGAAAGCCGTTGAACTTAGCCTTTGAAGGCTGGGCAGTGGTTCACGATGGTCTTACTCCACAGCTTCTCCTCAGTGTCTCCTTCACTAATGCTCACACACAAGAATTGGGAGGCTAAGCCAAAAGAGTCCACATGGTCTGTTCTTCTGCCGCATGCTGTCATCAAGCACAGCCAGGCTAGGTAGCACCTGCATGATGCCAAGAAGGGACACACTGTCAAGATTTGTCTAGACATGAGATACTATTGTTCCTTGGTAGGGACCTCCTGTCTCTCACCTGACATGGCCACAAGGGATACCTGAAATTACCCTGGAAGATAAGGATTCTCTGGTGGTTACTACATTGCCAGGCCTAGAAGACACAGGCTGCTGAGGTGCTGCCACTCAAGGTGTGGACTGTGATTAAGATGAGAACTCAGGGACTTTTTCAGTTCCCTCCTGCAGCTTGCAATACCTTTCCAATGCTCGAAGCAAGCCTGTGACCAGGCCCCCCTTCTACTCCAAGCAACTCTGCCCAAAAGGAAATGGAGACAGGCTTAGGCTTCTTTCTTCCTCACCATCTGATTGAGGGTAGCCCGTGTGGGGTATGCGCCTCTAAGCACTCTCCCTGTGGCTTTACAGGTACCTCAGCTACTTTTTTCAGAAAATAGGCTAATTAAATACATCTGCCCTGCCCCCTCCCACTGCTGCTCATTTTCATGTCCCAGCTGCTCCCATGTGGAGATGATACAAGTTTCAAAGTCAGTTCTCTAGGGGTAAGAAGCAGAGTGTGGGGTCCACACTGCTGAGGCTGCTGAGCTGCTCAGTGAGGGGTCTAACATGGAATGTCTCCCATACAGACTCTCTCTAATGTAAGTAACCTTCATAGTTACTCTGCATTTATGATTTTCGAACAAAAGAACTGCAAGAGCACGTTGATGCAGAGTGGCCCAGGCCATGTGCTGGCTTCTCAGGATCCGGTGCTGCAGCTTGCCTGTGCTCTAAGCACATTTGCACGCACACACCGCAGGAATGGCCACAGAATTTACATTAGGATAGGCATGGCCCATTGCCACCTCACCCGCCTCTGCAGGAGAAATCAGTACCTGGATCTCTTGTCCCCTTCAGGACCAGGACCTTCCTACATCCAAGGCTTTTCCACTCTGACAGCTTGACCAGCTCCAGCCAGTCCTCATATCTCATCACCACAATAACGTAATAGGTAGAATACGAGGCTCTTTCTAAAATTGTCAGTTAGCCGACCCAAGCTGTAGATCCCGTGAACTGATCTTCTTCTAACGTCATCCCTACAAAGCTTCTTACTGTACAGTGTCATCTCTTCTAAGAATGAGACATAGACCTGTGTTTCAGTCAATTCCAGAAACTCAGTGTAGGAAATGAATCATTAACTATGAGACGCAATGTGAGAGTGCTCAGATCTACTTGGACTGGTGAAGATGAGGGGCTTATTGTCTTTCTTTCTTAAAGCATATTCTCTCCTCTTGGGCAGAGCCCTCCCCAGGCTTGTTCTTAGAGAATCAACGTCACCTTTGTGCATTTGTCTCATGCAGCCCATTTCCCAGCTGGCATTACGTTCCTGGCTAGACTGGCACCTGGTGGCTCTGGGGCAGTGGGAGGAAGGCTGTCCTTCTACCTCCACACCAAAGCCATTTTCTTCTCAATTCTTTTTTCTTTAGATATTAAGGAATAGAGTTAACGTGTTAACTGTGGCTTTTAAACCATACAGCACCAATAATGCAGTTAGTCCAGGGCTTCTTTTGTTCCTGCAGGCATTTGAACAATAGAACACACAGGATGTGTCTGGGACCTTCTCCCATACATGGTTGCCTAGGCTCTTGTGCAGGTCCTGAAGACATGCAGTGACTCTCCTCAAGACTGTGCCGCTTGCTGCTTGTCTGTTGTTGGCTCTCGGATACTGTTCAGTAAAGAGGCTATAGCTGATCCAGGTGTGGTGCTCTACCATACCATCACAGGAAAAGCAGAGACAGGAGGATTGCAACTTTGAGGGCAGGCTGCATTACATAATGAGACCCCACCAAAAATAAGAGGGGAGAGGGTTTTGGCCTGTACATTTAGGTACTCTTTTCTGCAAAGCGTCACTCTGACTATATTCAGGGGGTGAAGGTCTCACCCTGCCCAGCTGGACAGTTGAGGGCTATCTGCCAAACCATTAGCATCTTTCTGTAGCCTCTGCCTCTGCCTCTTGCATTTATGCTTTGTGATGCCTCCTCATTGCCACTATCATCCCATCTGTTCCTGGGTGGTACATGGTCGCAAAGCATAGCAGACAGCATGTCCGTGAGTGTATTGGTTAAAACAGCATGTTCTAAGAAACCTCTGGGCACCCTTGGCCAGGCACTCAGAGCCATCTGAAGTGGCTGTTGCCCCTCTTCAATCTCCTGTCCATCATCAGCACCAAGAATGTTACAGTGCAGACTCTCATGGCACCTCCAGCTGCAGGGCTGGAATCACATGGGCCAAAGTGTAGAGCTACGTCCTGGCTGGGCAGAAAGTCTCTCCATTGTCAGTAACATAGGAACAGTTGTTATGTTCAGTTCTCAGGCCATTCCCTGGGAGAGTTAGTCTCATCCTGCCTAGGGTCAGGAGAGCCGCAGGGTTATTTGTAGCTTCTGTTGTTCACCCTGGTTGTTTGTTAAGTCCAACCATTGGCATGATCACATCTGATCATCAGGCCTCCTTCCTTCCACATACCTCCCAGGTATTGCTGTAACACTTCCCCCAGAGGCCCAGTGTGGGGCCCAGCTTAGGCCTGTGCCTTTACCCTTGTTTCTCCTAGCTACCTCATTTGCAGCTCCAATCCACCATACAGCCAAGGGCCAGAGCCCAGCTGCCTCTTTAGAGTCAAGGTGAATGCCTAAACCTGGACAGTCTTAGGAACATGCCCTTCCTGCAAGGCTACTGTTTGGAAGGGGAAGGAAAACATCTTCTAGACAGCCAAGGATATGCCACTGACCTGTGACCTGTTCTTCCTCCCGCAGCAATCAATACCAGTCACCACTCAGCCTCCTTCAAGTCCAAGTCCTCCAGCACCGTGACCTCCACCAGTGGCCACTCTTCAGGGAGCTCATCAGGAGCCATCACCTACCGGCAGCAGCGGCCAGGCCCCCATTTCCAGCAGCAGCAGCCCCTCAATCTCAGCCAGGTAAACTCCAGAAGCCACAGTAGGCAGTGTCCTAAAGGGACTGATGGCTTATTCCTACCCTAGACCAACCCTGGAACAGGTGATATCTCTGGCTCACAGAGAACCAGCCCCAAAGTAGAGTGATAGGGTACTTAGTGACATGGCACCAGGGCAGACCTGATCAGAGGGCCCACGTGGTGCTGTGTCAGCCCAGCAAAGAGTGAGCACGGGGTCCTGCCATTGTCCTGGCCCACCAGGCTGTCCCTGAGGTTGCCTCGCTGCAGAGGGTCCTCTTGCCCACCATGGCAGACCCATGGAAGGAGTACCTGAAGACTTGCACACACACCACAGTGATTTGGGCTCTCTACAGGAAAGAGGACTGTTTGCTTGGACTGTTTCTGGAAGACCCCAGTTTTAGAGTGAGCTTTCACATTATGTGAGGAAAGCAGTCAGGGAGAGAAAAGGCCCTCTGATCCTGCAGCCAAGTGTCCCACTGGCTTTGCTCCAGACTTGCTGAATGTCACCCTAGTCTGGTGACTGGCCAGACAGATGTTACCTTCTTAATCCAAGCAAATTTTCATGTTCTCTGCTTTTGAAGGAAAGCATCTGTTTTCACTGTTGCTTCCCATTCTGTTCTTCCTCCTTCCCTAACACAGTGCCTCTGCTACTTTTCCCCGTAGGCTCAACAGCACATGGCTGCAGACCGCACTGGGAGCCACCGTCGACAGCAGGCCTACGTCACTCCTACCATGGCCCAGGCTCCATACACCTTCCCGCACAACAGCCCTAGCCACGGCACTGTCCACCCACACCTGGCTGCGGCTGCTCACCTCCCCACCCAGCCTCACCTCTACACCTACACAGCGCCCACAGCCCTAGGCTCCACCGGCACCGTAGCCCACCTGGTGGCATCCCAAGGTTCAGCACGCCACACTGTGCAGCACACTGCCTATCCGGCCAGCATTGTCCACCAGGTTCCTGTGAGCATGGGACCCCGAGTCCTGCCCTCGCCCACCATCCATCCCAGTCAGTATCCGGCCCAGTTTGCCCACCAGACCTATATCAGCGCCTCGCCAGCCTCCACCGTCTACACTGGATACCCACTGAGTCCTGCCAAGGTCAACCAATACCCTTACATATAAACACTGGAGGAGGCCCTCGGGGAGGGGGTAGAGGAGCTCCCAGACCGACCTGGGGAGCTGGTATTTTATACTGCAGGTGCCGCACACAAACAATGCAAATGGGGCAGGGAGGGGGGCAGCTGGGGCACAAATGAAACTTGAACTAGGAAGTGGGAGGACTTAGAGCAGAGGAGGACATTTTAAAAGGTGGGGTTTAAGGAGGGGAAAATCTATGCTTTTATTTTAAAAAAGAAAAAGGAAAAAAAAAAGAAAAAGAAAAATGTTAGTAACAAAAGAGGAAAAAAGAAAAAAAAAAAAAAACACAGCTCACAAACCCATTCTGCACCAAACTGGAAAGGAAAAGAAGAGCTACAGGAAGATTCTGGAAGCAAGGGGCCCCAGTTTTTGAAGAACTTTATGAACTTTATAAAGATTATTTTCATATGGCAGCAAGTGACATTGAAGAACTTGCTGTCAGGGACACCTGATATGGAAATCCAATAGATTTTTAATTAATTGAACATGAAAATTAGGGATTCTTCCAGAACTCCAAAAGGGTCAACACCTCTTTCAAATGTCAGGCCATAGCCCAAGGAGGCTCATATTTTAGGGGTTAGTCTGGGGTTAACAAAGCCCAGTCTATCAAATAAGTTCTGGCTTATTTGTCAGAAATAGTGGGGTCAGCCAGACTAATGAAAGAACTCCCTCCCCACCCCCCTCCCAGGAGAAGGGCAGGGTTTCTCTTTTGGAGCATTCTGGATAGATCTCTAAGCAATGTTATTTCTCAGATGTCATTAATAATGTGTGTTGATGTCTCTTTTTCTTTTCTGGGTTTTTGTTTTCCCTTTGAACCCACCTCTAGTCGTGTAGCATAGGGCTAGTGGTGGTCGTGGACACCCTAGTAGAATGTAGCACCTTGCGCCCTTGTTTCCCACCTTGTGTTCAACTCCAGTGATACCAATAGACTATTCCTCAATAGAATTGCACAAAAAAAGTGATATAACATAGGCATGGAACCAATGTGGTGGTCCAGATGAACGAGTGAGTGTGCATGAGCACGTGTGGGTGTGAACGGGGCTGCCACCCTCCCCGAGTGTCCCTTGGCACCGCCGTCACAGCCCTTGCAGTCTTGATTTTACATCATTCCCTCCTAGTGCCTTAATGACCGACAGACAGACAGACAGACACAGCGAAGGGTTTACTTCCACTGGTACTCCAAGAAACTGATTGGGGCTGGTCAGCTATGTTCTCAGCTCTGCGTTAAGCTGTTATAGAGTTTTACTTGGGTCTTTGTTTTTGCATTGTTTTAATGTCATGTGGATTGTCTTTCCTGGGCTCTTTGTGAGCAGAAGGATTTCAGAGAAGCCGGCCTAACTAAAAAGGGAGAATCATGGATCTCAAGAGGGATGTGGGAGCTATCTAGTGGGGCACACTGGTGACAGAGCTGGTTCTTTTGGTGAGTTCTGCTTTGAGGGCAGAGATCCAGAGAGACTCCCCGCCTGCGCTACCCCTGCCGTGTATGGCACTAGGGGGTCTTAGGAATGTCAGCTTTGCCAGGCAGCTGCCTCAGCCTTTAAGTCCACCACCTCCTTCTTGGAGCTATATGGGCAGAGGGCAAGAGACCTGTTCCCATTTCTGGTTACTTCCCCAGCCCCTCCTCCCACAAGAAGCCTGGTAATCTCAGATGCACGTGCATATTTCTCTATCAGCTCCAGAGGCTGTAGGAAGGCTCCTAGTTTTGCCAGCTCTCTCCTACTGCAGACTCCACTGCTAAGTTTGCTGTCACTCCTATCCTGAAATTAACCTAAGTCTCTCAAGACAGTTTGATCTCTGCCGTTTAAAGATTCAGTGAGCAGAGGGGTGGAGGGCCACTTATGAGGTGGCCAGTGGCCCACTGCACTTGGGAAAATATTCCCGTGGACAATTAAACCTTCAAAGAAATCTTCCCAGAACCCTCTTTGCACCTGGGCTGCATTCTGGATGTTTGCTCCAGCTCTGGACAGTGGAATGGATAGGTGATTTCTATTCCTACTGAAAAACTGGAGCCATGGATATTAGCAGCAGGTATGGATAGTTTGATCCTAATGTGGTTCTAGCTGGCCCCTCATCCACATCTTCAGGTAGAGAAGTCTCTGGTCAGCAGTACAGCATCTTCTAGCCTCCTTTCTTGTCCTCCCTCTGCAGGCTCTGAGCAATCTACTGGGAAAGGCTTTCCTCATGATTTCTGCCCTCCTTCAGTAACCAAGCTTACTTAGCTTTTAGCTGTGAAAAACTCTGGAAACTTCCCCACCCATCAGTTCTTATAAAGACAAGTCCCAAACTGGATATGTCTTAGTGCATTGGACATAGCCTGCCCCACCTCTAGCCAAGGACATGCTGGAAGTGGAATGGAAGGTACAGGCCTGTAGTGAGCAGCTGCATTTTCCTCATCCTGGTCAGGATCACTTTAGCCCAAGACTGCTTTCTCTAGAAGTGAGACAACAGGAAAAGAATCTGTTCAGAGAGGCGTGGGAGCAAAGTCTTTGGAGAACCCCTGAGCCAGAGGCTCCTAGAGCCCCAGCAGTTTGGAAACCTGTCTGTCACATAGTCTGCAGTGGCCAGGTGGCAGATGATATGGGCCCTGGGCTCCCATGGGACCTTCTCATACTAAGTCGCCATACTAAGTCTTTGCTGAAAGTGGGCCTGGGTTTGCCTCACTGTGTGGCAGCACCAGGAGGCCAGCACATCCTAGAGCTGTTCTTCTGGGGGGTTGGGGGATGGATCTCTTTTTGTCTGCTTATGTTGAAGCTTTTCTCCCACACGTGTCCTTCCCTTTCTCCTTCCAGATCAGGAATGAATGCTCCTTGCTGCTCACAAAGTTAGTATTATTGTACTGATTATTTGTATTATGCCACTGTAATTATGATTATCACCTTGTTGCTATTTTAGTCAGGGTTTGAGGTACACATTTATTCCAAGGATCTTTGTGTTTCCTTTGTAATATTTAAATTTATTTTATTCTAGCTGTGCGTATATGAGTAGACTGGAGGGACATACAGATGTCAGAACAGGAAAAGCCCTAGAATTAGGAAAATTGTTTCTAGCATCTCTGTCCCATAAAGTGCTGCAAGAAAGACCTACCACAAAGCAGAGATTCAGATACACTGGGGCCTTCCTCTTTGCACAGCCCACCTGTGGTACACAGCCACTGTCTTTTGGACCCTTTGGCAGCTTCTCTCACAGTCTCTGTGCTTTCCTCCATGTCAGAACTACTGATCAGATTTTAACCTGCCTCACATCCAACATTTAGCATAAAAAGGCCCTCTCTCTAAGTTGCCCTAGACCTCTTCTCTTTCCTACTCATCCCTTTAGTATATTTGGAAATAAGTTACAACTTATCTCCTCAATGCAGAAAGTGGTCCCACCTGAAAGCCATTAGGTATAGTGAAGGTGACGGGCAACCAGTGCCTCCTTGTGAGGTATTTCCCTAGTCTTCCCACTTCCCTGGTCTGCTTCTTCCTAGACATACTCTCCCAGCACACAATTTCAGGGAGCCAAGTGAAGGAATAGGGAGGACACAGCGCCTCGCAAAAAGTCTAACAGCTGCTCAGACTGCCAAGTCCCTTCTAAATCACTGGCAAGTGAAGGGCACAGTAGGCCCTTGTAGCCACCCCTTCCCTCCCTGGCTGTGCCCTTCAGTGCCAGCACTGTAGTGGTGGTTGTGTATATACTGTCCGCTACCACCCAGAAACAACAGGCCCCATGAAGAGAAGACTGAGGCAATAGCTTCCCCAAACAGAAGACCACCACTTTGCAAACCTTCATCCCACAACCACCCCTACCTTGATCTCAAGTTCCATGTACAGAGCTGATGCATCAGGAGCCACACCTGACCCCAGCTAGATAGCGTCCTCACCCAGCTTCCCAGCAAGGTGCTCAGCACTTCATCCCTTCTGCAAAGAAGATGGAAGGAAGGCTGCTGCCCTTAGAACTGCACTCTCAGTGGAAGGAGGCCCTCTCAGGCCTTGTATACCAAGTGTCCCTGGTGTGCCCTCTGGGCCTTCTTTAATGAAGAAACACTGCTCAGCATGAGGAAGATGAGATGGTCAGCTCAAGGAAATAGGTCTGTGGCACCTTGTGACCCTCAGGTCAGCAGACTGTTGCTCACTGAGTTCTTACTGTCCATCTGGGCCCTGGCACCCATGTCTCTGTGTTAGCACGTCAGGCGATGTTTCAGGAAAGCGGATGAGCAGGCCAATAGGCAAGGCTGGTGTTAGTGCCACTTAGCCCTGTGGAGTGGATGCGGTTTGATGTGATTCAGAGGGAAAGGGGACAGGGCAGCCCAGTGTCCCTGACTGTATTGAGTTTCTCCCCTTCCTGGTGGCAAAGTTGTTTGCAGCTCTAAAAGCCAGTTTGGCTTTGTTCTCTTTGCCTCTGAGGGCTGGAACTGACCAGCCACAGTGTGGAGCGGGTCAGGAAGGGAGGTCAGCACAGCTGATAGGACCTCCCTGAACTAGGTCTCAGGAGTTGCACACACTCATTTTGAACAGTGTGTGGTGGAAGAGTGGTCTGGGGGATCGTGAGTGAGGGGTTAATGTTCTTGGAAACCAGTGTGAAGTGCAAAGGAGGCTTAGGGAAGTGTTGCTGGTGGTTCATGGTGGTGAGGGTGACTGGGTCCCCACCCTGGCCCTCCTTCCAGGTTCAGCATCTGTCTGAGGGAGGGTAGGATATGGGCGTGGCTCTTGCTGACCTGCCAAGTAGCTGCTAGGACAGAAAAGAGAAAGAAGAAAATTGCTTAGTGCCCTCAGCTAGCAGACAGAATTCCACCAGAGACATGTAATCCTTTCATGGCCCAGTCTGAGGCTGCACAACCCCCAAGCAGCCATTGCACAACACATTCTGACCCAGGGTCTCACATGCTGTGCTCCTCGTGTTCTTCCCTTCGTGTGTGCTGTACAGACTTCCAGTGGGGAAGCCTAAAAGTTAAGCAGGCCAGAGATGTCCTTACCAAACTGGAAAGGAAAGTAAAACTGTCCCTTTCTATAGCCAAAGAATCTTTTCAAAGACACCTCTAGAGATGGACAAATGTCATTCCTTGTGCCTTTCTGGGCAATAATGACTTCAATGATGCAATGTCTCTCTGTCCTGCCTCCTTTTTTTTTTTTTTTTTTTTTTTTCTTTTTTAATTCCATTGCATGTATTTCAAAACCATCTTCTTCAAGGAGAAGTGGAGTGGTGGCCCTAAATGCTGCTGCTCCTGGGGAACTGCGGTCCCTACAGTGCTCGTTTGTGTTTCACTGACCTCATGCTGCTGTGGGAAGCTAGAAAACAAGCAAGCGACCTTCCCTGATGAGCCCACACTGTGTGGGACACAGTGGGACTGTGTAGCACTGGCTTGCGATGGCAATATCTGTCCACTTGTCTAGTCGCTCCAGACAGCCTCAGACAAACAGGTCATACCACTAGAGAACCAAAGATGGCAAAGTGAGGCTTCCTTAATTGCAAAAGAGACCTCTTGAACACTTCGGCACCGTGGCTCACTGTAGTGACCAACTGAGGAAAGGCTCCCCAAGTCTCTGGGGCAGCTGGTGAGAGGTAACCCAAGGCAGCCTCTTCCCTTCTGACTCAGTTGCCAGAAGAGAGATCCCGCAGGCTCTCTGCCACAGAACCTCCATGCTTCCTGGCTCCTAAGCTGAAACCTTTCCCCACCCCCCAGTCCTTTCAGGGTCGCTCATCTCAGACCCATGCAGGAGAACATTACACTGATTGCCTCTTGCTGCAGACCAGCAGTATCCCTCATGTAAGGATAGCAGTATGCCAAGCCCATTCTGAGTATCCTCTCAAGGCCCATCACAGCCACCCATCCCCGGGAATAAGTGGACATCCCCTACTTGGCAGATGAAAAAGCTGGCCCTATGAGTGAGTGTCATGTGTAAAAGGAAAAGGTGATACATCTCAGAATCCCCGAGTTTCTAATTCTATTTTTTGTTAATCAGGACTTAACTGAGGTGAACTTGTGTTTCCCTATTTAACTAACTGCAGTGAGCAGCCTGCTATCTCTAATGAGCCATTCAACGATGCTCCCATTCCCTGTGTGCCAAACACTGCTAAGAACCGCTGCACGAGCCCGTGATGAGCGCCAGCACCACCACAGGTGAGGCAGCTGGCTTACAGAGCCTGTAACCCACCCAGGCGACCCAGCAAGTAGGAAGGAAAGTCAGGGCTTGACATCTTGTCTGCTTGGCTCCAGAGCTGAGCTCACGGACATCAGCCTCAGCTGCCTCCCTTGTGTAGCAAAGACAGTTCTTTGCAGAATGTCATACCCTGCCTTCCCTGTGGGAAGCTCTGTGCAAAGGGTTCTGGGGTTGGATGCACGTGGATAATGCAGAGTTTGGTGTGAGGAAAACTCTGGGGAGTTTCTCTGGATTCCTAGAATTCCTTTCCAGCAACTAGCTTTAGTCAGCTGCTACAAGTCTTACAAGAGTGAAGGGAAAGTGTTCTTTTCTTTTAAATAAATAACGTTTTTTTTTTTCTTGCTTATAGTTAATCTTAGAAAGGCAATACTGAAAGTATATATTTTTTTTCCAAAATGCTATTTTTTAACTGTACTTGATAAATATCATGACAACTCTGATCTCTGTAATAGATAGACCCACCCTTCAGCTCTGGACAGAACCAAAAGCCAGGTTCATGCCAAATCTGTAAATACCTTGTGGGTCTGTGTCCAGGAACTTTTTTTTTCTATGAAGAAACAAAAAAAAAGGGGGGGGGGACAAGATGACTTTGGGAAGAGGAACAGAATGGTGTGTTCTTTCAAGAGGTGCCCTTTTCAGAGACTGACAACAGCATAACTGAGCAAAGCAGCCAGCCCCAGGAAGAGAGGCAGCCTTGGCTGCTGAGAGGTTGGAGTGCTACAGACGCGGTTTCAGGTCACTTGAGATATGACAAAAATCTAGAAATGCTTAGGACTAGACTTTAGCTTCTTAAAACTTTTATCGTGCGCTATGAGTATCTACTCAGTTGTTTTGGTTGGGTTTCTTGTTTCTCTTTTCTTTTAAAAATGTCTTTACTGACCGGCTCCAGGCTTGTTTGCCTAGATTCTTAGGTCGTTTACACGAGTTCTAAATTCTTCTAGAACTTTAAAATCCATTGGAAGCAAACCCAGCTAGTGTGGATCTGAGATTCTAGTTGGTGTCAGTAGGTGTTCTAGAACTCCGACAGAGCACCTAATGATGTTTTCAGAAGGTTTTAGCTACATTATCTTACACAAACTGTGACCTAATGGCAATAATTACCTCAAATGTGGGCATTTGTCCTGGTTTTAGCCTTTTTTGAAATCATGTGGCCAGCTTGATCTTGTGATTTAAAAGACTATGAGTTCTCTCTGGGCTGAAAGTTGAGGATTGATGCATACCCTGGTCACTGTTGCCTAAGTGAACTCTGAGACTGGCTCATCACTACGCTAGAAGTGAAACCAAGACGAGATGACTCTGTGTCATAGCCAACGTGATGCTCAAGTGCACGGGAGCCTGTTTCTCACTACTGTAACATGCCCTTTGATTTCTCCAATATCAAGTAAACTACACAATTGACTGTAGATACTCAAGCATACTTCTGGCTACATTTTATAGTTAAAGTATTTTATAGTTTACATTTAACCTGGTACTTTTTAAAAAGAAAATTGTTTATAACTGACATCTTCAACCACAGTGATTGACTGGCTCTTGTGTTAGAAGCTGTGTCTCCCCAAGGCAGGCATGTTCCACTCATACTGTTGTGTAGCCCGATATGTGTGTTTCCCTTATTGTTGCTTCCCAGTGAACCTGAGAGAATGTGAAAGGAAGTCTAGAGGGATGGGAAAGGGTGAGTCCTGAACCTGGGCCGGATTCAGAGTCCTGCGCCGTGCTGTGTCGGTTGCTCTCTTCAGCACGGAGGGCATCGAGGCATGGGCCCTGCTCCATCAAGTCTGTCTTGATTTGAATGATTCCTTTGTGACTAGCTCGCTCAACCTGCCTGGAGCCGCTCTGAAGATATGGCTGCTGTTTCAGGGTCCCCACTGAACCTTGGCCAGCATTTTAAGAGGAAGAGCTGTCTGTACCTCTGGGCCCATGTTCACTGACTGGGTCTTTTTTTTTTTTTCTTTGAAACAAAACCCATGTAAAAGGAAATGTACTTTAATTTCCCATTGTCTGGCTAAGATGTGAACACAGTTCAGAGTGGGCCTTGGCTTCTGAGCTAAAGGAGCTGGGGGGGTGAGGGGAGTGCAGGATGGTCCATGGAGACCGGGTCCACAGAGGGGATTTACAGTGACTGAAATGGGCTTCAGAGACAAGAGTGGGCTCCACTGTAAGCAGAAGCCAAGAAATGTTAATTTCCCGACAGTCTTGTTGTATTTGGGTTTGGGGTTGTGTTGTGTTGTGTCTTTAAGACAGAGTCCCACCACAGAGCCCTGACTTGTCTGAAACTCACAGTGTGGACTGGGTTTTGTTTTGAGTTTTGTTCTCTCTTGTGCCGTTGCTGAACTGCGGCAGCCTGTGGTGATCTGTGATGTGATGTGATCATTCCTCCAAGCAGACACCTTGAGAGCTCCAGCACCCCAGCACCAGGGTCTGCCCCTCCCATGCTTGCTTTGCGCCTGTGGCTGGTGCTCACAGCGTGCTCTCGTGACCTGTTAGAATGTCTCTTATCTCACCCTTTATAGTCATACTCCCAGGCTCCTGCTGTGTGTGTGTGTATGTGTGTGTGTGTGTCATTTCCTTTGCACTAATAAACCAAATAAATTTTGTGTCATTGTCTTTGGAGCTAACCCATGTTTTTAAAAATGAGAGGTATAAAAATGGGCTTTTTGTTGTTATTTGAAAAGTCAATAATGTATTTTAAAAAGGGCTCTGCTGTCCGCTTTCTATAGTTCCCTCTCAACCTATTTCCAAATGAATCTCTCCTGGCCCCACCCCATTGTGTTAGCTCACCTCAGGCCTCCCTACTGTCACCACAGATCCAAGCTCAGGCACTCAGGACTCCCAGAAAGCCTAAGAGCCAGCTAGGAGGCTTAGCCCTGGGAGCCTGCTCCTGCCTCCTTGGCTGCCTGTGGGGCTGCTGGGCGGTCTATCTGCTATTGCTGTGTCAGTACTGTGGCTCCCGCTAAGAGGAAGGACATGGGAAGTTGAAAGTGACTTGACTGTACCATCCTCTAGCTTTCTGTGACTCCGAGTGGAACACAAACACACACCCCACGTGCCCTTCAAGGCAGAGGTCCTGTCCATACTGCCTCCAAGTCTGTTGGCTTCCTGGCCTTCCATATCCCTCTCTCTTGTGTTGCTGCCCTCTGACAGCTGGCTTTCTTCCATGGGTTACCCAGGGCACACAATCATTTCTAGCCCCCAAAGCACCCTTCACTCGTTTGTGTGTGTTTTTTAACCAAATGAAGTTGACAAGAAAGGCGTATGTTGGGGCTGCAGGATTCCTAGTGTAGTAGAAGACTGTATAGTAGAGATGGTGATATATATGTTTGTGTATATATATATATCAAGCCAAATTTCTGATAGAAAAAAGTATAGCTTTATGGATGAGAAAGAAGAGGAGCCCTTTAGAGGTTGGAGCCAGCCTCAATGTGTCCAATGAACAAGACACCTGCTCCTTCACACGCAGCTAAGGCCTCAGCACCTAGCCCTCGCCATCCACCTCACTGAGCTGGGAGGCCCTGAGGCCTCTGCTGCTCTCCCTGGGTCGCCAGCAACAGAGGCCTGGGAGAGTGAGGGGACACAGATCAGAATGACTGGAATTTCTCATCCCGTTTTGCGCTGACTACATGAATTGAGCTGCAGCCTGATATTTATGTTTCCAAAATGTGGTACCATGAAGATGGCAAGAGAGATCTGTAGCAATGCTTAGCTTTCAGCTGCCTGTGAGTTCAGGATGCTCGGGACAGAAAGACACGCTCCCCAAAACAAGAACAGGGAAAAGGGGACCTGGCAGAGCCCATCCCCCAGTCCAAGGAAGGAGGCCCCTCCCCCAGGTCATCTTACCCAGATCTTTCTCTGCCAGCTCAGCTCAGCTCAGTCTTGATAACCTCTTGGAAGCCCTGGCCTGTCCTGTTCCTTCACTGTACGCTTTCTGTAATAAAGTGTTAATCCATGTTAATCTGTGTGGGGATTATTGCGTGCAACAGTATTTTCTTGTGTACCTCTTTTTCCTCTGTGACGTGTCCCTTTTTTTTTTATTTATAAATGTCTACTTTTTTTAAAGGACAAACCAGTGTGTCGTAGACCTCTATGTAACCTGTTCCTTAGTCTCATTATAGGTATCTTATAAGGATGGATATTTTACTTGGCTTTAGAATGTTTTTCAAGAAAACTAATTCTTAACTGATGAAGTCGTTGCTACTAAAATGCTTGTTTTCATCATGACGTCGTGCGCTTCTAAATTAATCATCATTTTCGTTGTAGAAAAATGGAGTGAATTTATATTAGTCTTGGAAACTAATAATAGCATTGTAAATTTATGAGATGATTTTAACAGAAAAAATATAGAAGAATATAGTTATTTTAATTGTAATATTACTAACTGTAGGGTGAGGAAGGGGGTCCTGTTGTGGTGAACTCTGTTATAGCTTGTTGCTCAGTTTCTTTTTGATCATTTTTTCGGTCTCTGAGGTGAAGCGAGTTATTAATTGGATCTGTAAACTCACATATGCATATTGTATATGTGTAGAGATGTGATCACACTGTCTTGGAATTACATTAAACTGTTTGGAATCACAGTTCTTTGCCCAGTGGCTTCCTTATCCAGAGCCTTACTAGGGGGCACCATTGCAAGTCACTGCTCGCCCTCACACTGCAAGCAGGAGCTGTCCCATGGCTGGCAAGAGGTAGGCCTGCTGGTCACTTCACGTTCCGTTCCTGCACTAAACGTCTCCTGGACCCCATCTGTGTCCACATTCTTCCCCTGAGACTCAACCCTCTGCTGTCCTGTGAGCTTGCCAGCATTCCTCCCAGATCTGCATTCTCTGCAGACAACCTACATGTGGCACAGCCCTGCTGCCCCTCCTGCCATTCCTCCCAACGCACCCCACCTCGGGGAGCCTAGAAGATGCCACATGTACCCCTAGGCACAGCTCCTGGCATCAGTGATTTTGTTGTTTCGGTTTTGGTTTTGCCAATATCTAGAAAATTTGCCATTCCTTTCTCCCCAGCCCATCAAACACCATGCATTCTGGCTTGAGAATTGGCCTGTTCCATGTACTTCATGCGTGCAATCATTCATTATTTGTTCTTTTATGCCTGCCTTGTTTTAGAATAATGTTTTAGGCTCATTCACGTTATAAAGTGGATCAGGATTTTCTTTTCTTTTTTGTAGACTGAATAGTACTCCATTATAGGATCCCATATATTCCATCATGTTCCACATCTTTGCATCACCGTCTGCCCTGTTTCCGCCTGTGGCTTTTCTAGCTCCACTGGGAACTTTGGTGAGCAAAACTCTCTTCAAATGCCCACTTTTGATTCTTTCAGGTATGTCTTACAGAGGTGAAAGTACTGGAGCACGTGACAAGCTCACCTTAACATTGAAAGAACTGCCGTGGCGCTCCGCATGGTGACGCGCTGTGCTCCAGCTTCGGCGCGCAGGCTCCACTCCTCCCAGCACTCTTGTCCTGACTTCTTTAGTGTCCCCAGGATCCCCTGCCACCAACACGTGTATGCTTCCCATTCACCCTAAACACTGGGGGCCCTTAGCTTCCTTTCTCCATCTTCTCACCCGAAACCTCAGCAGCCACCAACAACCCTGCTCCACCAGGGCCATGCTGGGGCTTCACTCAGCCGTCCAGCCGCTCAGCTCCTGAGAGCTGCTGGAGCAGATCCCATGACTCCATACAGACCACTGACCCAACAGTCACCCCGGCCCACGAACCACTGACCCAGTAGACCCCTGCCCCTATAGGCCACTGACCCAGCAGACACCTGACCCAGTGGA